AGGCGCGTGCACACGGGACAACAAGATTACACCAAAGCTTCCATACGATGAACAAGGTATACTGCCTTGTAGGATGAGGCCCCAATCCAGTTTAAGTCAAGCATTATTACTGCCCCCCCTCATTTTTTTTTGGTTCCCGTCCCAGCGCAATGGGCCGCCCGTCTGACGGGAAGCAGAGCATTGACCCCTGATCTGATAATCCATATCAACCACGCGTTTGAAGGATTCATGGATCCGCTTTAGGACTGGCAGCTCACCCAACAGCTTGGTAACCAGGGGAGGCAACCAGGGGTGGTTGAAGGGCGCATCGGCGTTCTCGCTAATAGATGGACATAATTTAGGCCTCTTTATCACATAAGCTGTTCTGCTTACGCAGACATGAGAGATAGATCATTGTTGTGGAGATGAGAGGTTTTTCACTTCCTGGTGATGCGCGGGCGCTGAATGCACTTGGGAACTTGGAACTCATCACATACTGGCAGTTCGCATGGCGCGGCACCTCACCCTTCCTCGTGGGTTGTGTGCTGACAGCTTTCCTCCCCTGACCGAAACTTACCACACGGCTGGTAATGAGCGTGGCCCGTTTTTGCGGGCAACTGTTCTCTTACGCGCCCTATGAAACGCAAGGGGAAGCAGAGGATCCTTGAGTCTGCTCTATAGAAAGTAGAAACAATATGAGAAAATGGCAGCTGTAACAATGGCAATTGAACTCGGAACACACAATACTAGGTTATATACAAAGTTGTGACAATAAACAAAGATTCCGCTTGAAGGTATACAACGCCCTAGTTATGGGTGAGACTATGCTCACATCTATGCCTGAAGTTTCTGTTTCGTCCTCTTTCTCTTGCCGCCTACTTCCCTGCCTTCCTCCATCTCTAGCAAGGCCTCTCGCTTCTTTTCGCCAACCAGCTTCAGGGCGTCTCGGATGACTCTCGTCTCCAGGTTGACGCCCTCCTCTTCCCAAGCCTCCATCTGCCTGCCAACTCGCTCTTCAATGGCCAGGACCAGGTCCACGTCTCGTTGGCCTACAAATGTGACAGCCTCACCCTTGCGCCCCGCACGGGCGGTACGTCCAACACGGTGGATGTAGTCATCCGGGTCTCGGGGGATATCGTAGTTCACCACCAAGCTCACTTCTTGGATATCGAGACCTCGAGCGGCGACGTCTGTAGCTACCAAGATCCTGGCTGCTGAGGCTCGGAAGCGAGCCAAGTTATCTGTTCGCTGTCTCTGGGGGAGTTTGGAGTGCAAAGACGTGACTCGGTGGTCCAACAGTCGCAATAAGTGATGTAGATAATCGGCCGTCGTTGTGCGATTGCAAAAGATGATGATAGACTTATTGACGTTTGCCTCAGTGAGTAAGAAGACATGTAGATAGTGCTCTTTGTGTGTGATGGGGATTTGAACGTGTCTCTGGCTCAGCGTTGCCGGGATGGCAAGCATCTGTGTATCGACCTCGCAGACAAAAACGGGTGGTTTCCCAGGTCGCTGTGGTAGGTCTTTGAGCGCACGCACTTCTGGTGTAATGGTAGCCGTGAAGAGAAGTGTCTGTCTTTCGGAAGCAGGTGGTAGCACCGACAGACACTCCTCGACGTCAGGCAGCATACTGCCCGAGCCACTGGCATGCAAGAGACGATCTGCTTCGTCGAGAACCACGTAACGAACCCTTCGCAATCCACATATCGTGTCCTCTCCAGATGTTCTAATATGATCCGCCAAGCGCCCAGGAGTTGCAATAATTATGTGCGGCCGTTGAGCCAGCGCAATGGCTTGAGCACGCATATCAGCGCCACCAGTTACAAGGATCATCTTGAGGGTCTGAGGTGAAGAGATGGCCTTGAACTGTTCGTAAATTTGAAGGGCAAGCTCGCGCGTTGGCGTCAGGACGACGGCAAAGATGGCAGAAGGGTCCTCTGCCCACTTCTGGAGAACCGGGACGGCAAAGGCAACAGTCTTTCCTGAACCTGTTCTGCTACCACCAATGCAGTCTCTTCCCTTCAAGATTTCCGGTATACAGCCCTTTTGAATACCAGTTGGCCGTTTGATGGCCATATTCTCGAGAGACTGAACAAGCCATGGTCGCACAGTCAGGGCAGAAAAGGTTGTATTGGGATCGGTTGGTGCGAGGATGGGGTTTTGCGCCTGCGATTGAGGAATAGTAGTGGGCTTGGCGGTTGGTTTAGCCTCTTCTTTCTTTGCAGTGTTTCTTTTGACTCGAGAAGGCGCTGCTATGGAAGACAGCACCAGCTTTGGAGTCTTGTCGTCATCGTCGTCATCGCTATCATCAATTCCAATGTCAAGGTCGGGCGAGGTGCGGCGTCGTTTCCTGGCAGCGGCATTGTCGAGGTGATCCGACTCGTCAGAGGAGCTGTCTGAATTGGACGATCGCTCCGGATCCGGAGATCGTTCTGCGTATGTGACACCTGCGGCAGGCATGTTAATGGCTTGAACATATGCGATTTGCGGATACACTCGCAGCCTTTCGTCGATACCAAAATTTTTTTTGGAGATGTCTAAAAAAAAGTTGAAGTTGAACATTAAAGTGGGGCAAATGCTCTTACCGCTTTCCTTGTTAGGACTAGCCATATGATCCGCGTCTAGTTCTTTGACTGGAGTGGCAGTGAGAAGAAGTACTCCATAGTACTTCGTCCCTCGTGTAAACAAAGGTGACAAGCAATACTAAATTGGTACGGCTCTGGGATATCTCGATTGAATCATTGAATCATGTTTAATCTATTTTTAAAACAAAGCCCGCTTCAGACTCAGATCCTCAAGCAAGTCCCACCTTCAATCACTCGTTTCTGTCCATCGCCTGTCATGCCGTCCCTGACGCGGGACTAGTGGCTGCGAACCAACCAGATCGGCGGGTAGACGCGCGCTTGAAGAAACGCTGGTGCCGGACGCTGATTGGTCCAATCCGGTCCAGCCCCTGCAATGCTGCAGGCTGCGCCGCACTTGAAACAGCATCAGTTCAAGCACCTGTGACCAATTTTGCCTTTCAGACCAATACGATGCGCGCAGCGTCTATTTTGACAATCCCTGCATGCAGAGGCCTGAATACCTCGTTTGTCTGCGGCATGAGACAAGCAGCGGGCTGGGAAAGGCAGGCCAGTTGTGCCGACGCCTGCAGTGCCTGGCATGCTTGGCTGCGTGCATTGAGCTGTACTGTCCTGTTCGCCCGCTCAACTGGAACCTCTGCCCTAGATTCGTTTGCCGAGAAGACGTCTCAACTCGCAATTGGCCGACGTTGGTGTCGTGTGTCAGACAGGCAGCCCCGTAGCGTTGACGGGATTTTCCTGGGGCCAGAAGCTGAAGATGTCGAGTGAATGGGATGCAAGCCCACTCCTCCAACCCTCGACTTGGCTAGCCACTGGTCTTACATTCCACGTGTCGGTGTTCAGCGCCTTTCTAGATCACTGTCTTATACACACACACAAGTCAGCATGAAGCACATTGCAGAATTCTGGTGCCTGGCATCTCTGTATCTGTCTGATGGCCGCTCGGCACCCATGATCAGCGGCCCTTTTGGCATTAATCTTACGACATGGTCGGCGGGATGCGCGCTGCTGACTAGAGGTGCAATATGCCTCAAATTATGGAAAAGCAGTGATGGCAAAAAGTTGTAGGGTAAGCGAGCAACTAGCCGCGCTGGACTGCGTCGAGAACGGCCGTCAAGAGGCTTGATGAGCTGTGCCGCACATCGAACCCTGGCTACTGTTGCCGATTCACCTGATGACCCCTGTCACAGTGCACTTGAGAGCCATTGGTGGGTGATTCGACGTGCTGAGTTCTGCCGCATTTACCTGTAATCTGCTCTCATGATATGATTTGCCCCCCTGTATCATCGCTCGCCGTGCCGTCTTTTGCCGAGCCAGCGCACACTTTGCCAGTGAAAATCGACATGCTGTGATTTGGATGCTGATTTGCCCGTCTTCCTCCCAGCTCATCTCTACGGCCAACTCACTGTTTCACCAAAGCCCGCAGTCTCAGAACCAGCCGCGGAAACCGGCTCAGACTACAGCGCTGCGGGTGCTCCACACCTCCCTCATCTCCACTGTCAGTTAGCGCTGCCAGAGCTCTGCTTTGGGGGCCTTTTGGAGCCCTACGGGTGCTGTACAGCGCCTGGAGCTACTGCTTCCCCACAAGGGCCCCTGGTCGCGTGGTGCTCACAGCAATCCTTTGCCCAGTGCCCCAGGCGGGTGAGCGCCGCACGCTGCTGCCACGCTGCACTGCTGCGGGTAGCGCCATGTACCGTCGCTGTACGGCGCTCTGCCACCGCCTGCGCGCAGGGGCTGTCTGCCGCCATGCGCCATGCGCGGCGCCACACAAACTCCGCTGGGCCGCATACGCAGCTCGAGGCAGCTACATGTAGGTACTTGCCAGGAGGTGCTGCAACCCACACCTCTCTCTCAAACCTCTCCTCCCCGACAATTAAAAGAAAAAAGTACTAGACCCGACGAGCTGGCCATAAGCTTCGTCTCTCCAACCAACTTTTTATTTGCTTTCGACAACCACCGTCTGCATCCTTTCGATCGTTTCATTCTGCAATATTTGTTCCTTCGCGCCCTCCGTCTGGCAGCGCTGCTTTCTGTCCTGCTTGTTGACACGCACCAGCCGATTATTCCCCTCTTTAGCGGCATCCCCTCACTCGCCTTCGACTTCCCGCCAGGGCCAATAGACCGTGCATGCGAGCACTCGCCTCCTCTGCCAGCGCATCGCTAGCCATCTGCCGATATCTGGAATCTTAGCACGGTCGTTACTCTGCATCGTTTGTGCCTCTTTCTATCCTCGCCGAGTTCCTCGCGCTGCTTCTTGTCCGTACATCCAACCGTTGTTGGGTGGCTTCTTTGTGCCGTGCCCGCACACTCAGACTTCAGAAGTGTGGTCTCTTGTGCCGCCCCGACCTTCAGCCTTGCAAAAGGTGCCGCATACCCACCAAGAATTCGCTCGTTTGGATATCGCACAGCAACCTGCCTTGACTGGCGCCGCCCTCCATCATGGCTGATGCGGCTTCTTCACAATCCCAGGGCAACGAGCCCGCTGCCCAACTGGTGAGTTGCATGCCTAGCACTGTTTGGCCCCCTGGACTGGGAAAATAAAGACGACTTGACTGACTTGTTCCGCTATAGCATCCCACCTCTTCTGCCCCCTCTGCCGTTCTCCAACCTCCTGCGCCATCCCCAATGTCCGTACCGATCATGAACTCTCCAGCCCCCCTTCTTCGTCCTGCCATTCCAGGAAACCGGGGCCGTGCGGCGCCCAGATTGGGGCTGGCCATTCCTCCCTCACCAAACGTCAAGCCTGTGGGCAATCAGGCTGTTCAACCGCCTGCTAGGCCCCCCCTACCGACTCTGCACCTGGCAACGCCCATGGGCAGCCAATCCACGCCATATGAACAGCCTCCGAGGTCGCAGGGCATCCAGCCCGGACAGTCTGCTGGCGGCGGCAGCGAGAGCAGCGCAGCTCATTCAAGGTCGGGAAGCTTTGGCCCTCTTGATGGCCGAGCAAGCAACCCCACGTCTGCGGGCTCTCAGTTTTCGGCCCTTTCATTTGCCTCGCAGTTCGGCATCCCTGTAACACGACCCCAAGGAACCCCAGACCCTGTATCGGCTGTCGGCTCCATGTACTCTGAGAGAAGTGAGGGAGGTGTTTCCATGGAGAGAGATGGAAGTTTACAGGGCTTGGAAGGGTTTGACCGACTCAGCATCGAGAAAGCTAGGAACGCCGATGTTGAAGATTTAGATGATGAGGGGTGGAGGATTGCCAGCTTGGAAAAGCGAATCGTTGAACTGGGCAACCTCGGCGAGGGCGCTGGAGGCGCCGTTACCAAGGCCATGCTTAAAGGCGGCAAGACTATCTTTGCTCTCAAGGTAATTGACTTCCGATTGAAATTGTCATTGTACCAATGAGAATGCTAACGACAGCTCCAGATTATTACTACCAATCCTGATCCGGATGTTAAGAAGCAGATCGTTCGAGAGCTGGGTTTCAACAAAGAATGTGCTTCTGACCACATTTGTCGCTACTACGGAGCATTCGTCGACCCCTCCACAGCCACCATTTCCATTGCAATGGAATTTTGCGAAGGTGGCTCATTAGATAGCATCTACAAAGAGGTCAAGAGACTGGGCGGTCGTACCGGTGAAAAGGTACTAGGAAAGATTGCCGAGGGTGTTTTGGGTGGCCTTACTTACCTCCACACCCGACGCATTATCCACAGAGACATCAAGCCTTCCAACATCCTGCTGTGCCGTGACGGCGCGGTCAAGCTGTGCGATTTTGGTGTCTCTGGAGATTTTGGAACCAAGGGCGAGGCCAACACATTTATCGGCACCAGTTACTACATGGCACCAGAACGAATTACTGGCCAGTCATATACCATTACATCTGATGTATGGTCCACAGGAGTTACGCTGCTTGAAGTAGCGCAACACCGGTTCCCCTTCCCTGCAGATGGCACAGAGATGCAGCCTCGTGCAGGGTTGATTGATCTGCTCACATACATTGTGAGGCAGCCCGTTCCGACTCTTAAGGACGAGCCGGACAATGATGTATACTGGAGTGACAACTTCAAATACTTCATTGAATGCTGGTATGTAACACTTCATATTACATTTTTTTTTTTTTTTTTTTTTGGAAGTTGATGCTAATACGCTACGATGTACAGTTTGGAGAAGCAGCCCAATCGCAGAGCTAGCCCGTGGAAGATGTTGGAGCACCCGTGGATGACTGAGATGCGTTCCAAGAGGGTAAACATGGTGAAATACCTTTCCTTCGTATGGGGCTGGGACGAAAAGCAGGCCACCACCTCTCGATAAAAGACACTGCCATTGCTCATCTATTATCTTACGCATATTTTTGAAAAAATTACACCGTTCATTCCTGTCGCACCAGCAGGCTGGCCTCGCCGCGCAGCGTATATCATACCGGGGGGAGGAGCAACTACATGAGAAAAGAGTTCTTAAGCAGGCGAACTAACCAGATCATTGACGATATGTTCGGGCTTTACTACGGTCATGAAGAGAGGGGAAATTGGTGTATAGCACCGGGGTTTTTCTTATGCATACTTCAGAAAGCGAGCATCAAAGCACTTTTACTATATTGGAAAAGATGATGTGTTTTATTTGAAGAGTTGCCAAGAGAAAAAAAAAGGCATCTCTCAGCTTATACTTCGATATCAAAGCGCTTGCACATAGCGATCCTTCAGGTCATTTTTATATTTCTTGTTATTCAAATTTGTCATCAACATGGCGTGTATACAAAGGATCATGTTTAGTTGTCCTAACTGTCTTCTTTAAGAAAGAATTACAAAAAACAAATATGAAATCAAATATGCCAAAAGAAACCCATTATATGTGTGAATTTAGAAAATTGAGGCTCTCAGGATGCATTACTCTCCGGGGGGTCACCCATGAGTTCCCGTAGAGTAACGGTAGCGTAAGCACTTCTGCCGAGCTGGAATTTGACAATTGCGGCGATCTTGAGCGGCTTGTCTACCTCCATGGTTTCTTCTGCATTTGTAGTTTCTGTTTCTTCGACCTTGGCGCTATCAGCTGCAGCGTCGCTGGTAGCAGCACCCTCATCTTGCGAGGTCTGATTAGGAGCTTCATTTTCTCCTTCGACCTTGGCCACCTTGCTCGGCCTTGCTTCGTCTCCGTCCTCGCGAGAGCGTTTATTATTACTAGCAGGTTTGCGCTCGGCTTTGATGAGATCCAAATCGGTGGGGTGCATCTGCTCCTCGTCGTCTGTGTACGTCTTGAACTCGACGCTGGGCTTGGCAAGGAACCTGTTCATCAGCTTGCGGTAGCGTCCCGGAAGGCTGAACTCGCGTCGCATGCGGCGCATCTTGTGGGGATCCAGACTGCCGTTCTCCTCGCGGCCCATAAAGTCCTTGTAAAACTCGCCAATCTCGTTGTCTGGGTAGATGACGTCGTAGCCGGGAGTAGGGAGAACAATGTCGTACACTGTATATTTCCCACTTGCGGCTTCCTCCTCGGTCAAAGGCCTGGCCTGGAGAGGAATATCGTCATCGTCCTCGACGGGATTTACGGGATTGATTATGTCGTCGCCGTCTTGGTCTTGGCCGCTGCCTTGGGGAGTGGCTTCGGTTTCGACAATGACGAGGTCGCCCTTGATGACTTTCTCGCCATGGAGCTCCCATCGCCTGCTCGCAGCGTGGTTCCACACGTGGGATTGGGCCGCGTGGAGGTACATTGATCGTAGACCTCTGGTGATGTGGATGAGGGCTCCGACAAAGTCTCTTCTGGACTGCTTGCCTTGTCTGTTGAGATGGCGCAGGACGCAGACTTCGGCCGCGAATCTCCTGGGCATGATCTCAATGGCCTTTTCGACGTCCTTTTCCGTCCTGAACAGCATGCAGGCTAGGTGGCGGCTGTATTCGTCCCGCTTGGCGGGCTCGCTGGGGATGCCCTCTGTTTCTGCCTTTTGAGCAATTTCCTCGTCGTATGCAAGAATGGCATTGATGGCGCCTTCGTAGTTATCCCCCAGAATGAGTTTTCCGACCTCGTGCGTTCCGATCTGGTGAGTGCCGAATCGCTGATGGCCAAAGTAGTTGATCCAGCCGTGCTCTGTCATGTGGTCCAAAGCGGACTGCACATTGGCGTGCATCAGGCCAACTTGCTCAGAGACAGGCTTGGCACTGTCCTCGCCGAGGATCTGGCAATTCTTGATAGTGATGGCAAACTCATTGCCTAGTAGCTGTCCAAGGTGGATGGGATCCGTCTTGTACTCGTAATCACCAGTTGTTATGCCCCAGAGCTTTCCATTGATACCCGCCAGACTTCTATCCCGCGTGTATCGGACGGAACAGCGCTGGACTGTCGATGCACGTCGATCCTTGGTGCCCGCATAGTTGATGACTTGAGGCTTCACCTTCAAAATGCGTGCAATCTGATTGACGGCATCCATGGTATCGCGGTTGTCTTTGAACAGAGTAAAGTGGAGATACTCGCCAATGGGTTGATCTTCTTGCTTGTTCCGGTTGCGATTGCGGCCGCCCCTACCTCGTTTGCCTCTTTTTGTGGGAGCAGAGAAGCTGGCAACGATAGCACCGGCATCGCCTGTACTGGTCTCGATTCTAGAATTGAATATCCGTCGAATTTCTTGATGGATTTCGCCTCGTTTGAACTTGTCGTCCATGGGCTCGGACACGACAGGCTTCTTTCTTTCCAAAGGCTCGGCCTGACCGTCTCGGAATAAGGCTACGAGCTCCTGTGCAAACTTTTCGCCTGCTAGGTTGCTAAGAGCTGTCACATCTTCTGCAGGGATCTCAACAATCTCCTTCTCTTGAGGTTCATCTTTAACCTCGTTGAAATCACCCTCGTTAGTGGAGTCTTGCTGCTCTTTGGGGGTATCAGCCTCTTTTACTGGCGCGGCATCCGCAACCTATCCAATTGATCAGTATCACTTATCTTTACATTCAAACAGAGACAACTTACCGGTTTGTTTTGGCCATTTAGTCCAATTTTGCGCAGATGAACAACAACGCCGTCTTTGCCAATCTCATTGACCTGGAAGTCTGAGAACCTGCAAAGAATAATTAACAATTAGTCCGACATCACTTATGGGAGAAATATGAGAAGCGCGCACCTCACGCGTAGGTCGCCCACCCAAGGGAATCGCAAGGGAGTGGCGCGCTGCGTGATTCCTATTGATTTGGCGTGAGACGCAGTTTGGCGCACATTGTAATGCGCTAGTTCGCTCATGATAGCGGTGATGCGGCGGTAGAGGCGAGAACCAATTGAGCTGAGCCTCACCTTGTGAAATTCTCACCAGACATTATGCTGTGAGCGTTATGGGGCGGATTCTGCCGGCATTATTGTCAACACTTTTTACAGATATAGCAGGCGGTGGAGACTAGAGCGCCTGGGTCTTTTGGTGGCTCACTAAAGAAGTAGGCGGTATAACTGGAGCCGAATGTACCTTGGTTCTGGCCATTTTGCTGTTGCAAGTTTGCGAATCGATTGATTCGAGGAAGCCATTCGAGGATGCATTTAAAAAGACATTCATCAAAATACTTTACTAACTACTGCCAAGAAAATTCTGTTTGAATTGTTTTTTTTAATGCGATAATCAAGCTACCGGTGAATATGTATTACTAGACTAGGCAGAGATCCGGCTCAGAGCAACCTTGAGTACGTAGAAAGAGCTACCATGGAGGCCTTTCATATCTATTCCTAGTAATTCCTTCTCTTAGCAGATAAAACTTATGAATCACTCATAGGTCATTAGTTCAGATTGCACAATCATCAGCTCATGTTTCACGGCCTCGAGATGGATATAGACCTGGCCATTATAGTGTCCCTATTTTAATTCCTCTTTTTCCGCTTTCAGCCTGCCTTGCTTCAAGTCTACAGATCTATAACATGAACACGACTTATACTCGTATAGTATTTAAATTTTGATATGTGAACTCGAGAAAGAATCAGAATGAAGACCACTTGGTCGCCTCGCGCTGTGTCAATATTTCATCTCGTCTAAGACAACGGATGAAATAAAGAATCGGATCTCATCCTCGACGAAGCTTTCTCGACGAAGACAAGCTCGGAAACAAAATGCCCAGACGATTGAGATGGCTGATCCCAGCTGTTCGTTTTGCTACCGAATCGCGACCATCCATCCTAAATTCGGACTTGGACTCAGATCAGGAGGAGAAGCGCCCTGACTATGCAGGTGTGTTTTAATAAATGACACCTATATATCCTCTCTTGCTACCCTTACCAGATATTTACGACGCGCTATCATCCATTGGTCTACTTGATCCCGGCACCAGGCGTTTGAATGAACCTAAGCTTCTAGAGCTGTCTGACGACATCCGGGCTCACCTTCTTGAAGGCGCTTCTCTAGGCGACAGCGCAGAAATTATCAAGAGAACTCTCCGTGAGCTGGTGATAGACGAAAGCGGTGCCATACCTGTACTAGATTTTGCTACTATCCAGAATGCTCGACTGGATAAATTGCTTTCCGACATGTTGACCCTAGGTCACCAGCAAGCTTTGCTTCCCCCTCGATCCCGCGTTGATACCTTCATGGCCGAAAGGCTGCAGAGGCTCTGGATCGCTCGATTTCGTGAAAAGTACTTCAGCATTGACCAAATCCGGCATCAAAACCTTTCCAAGTCTAGCAGGCTGAAAGATATCATGTTCAACGATGCGGCCACAGACGGCTGGGGCTTGTGGCAAGCAGAGGGCAGTGAGACGACACTATCAGGCCTTGAATCAAATCTACAATTCAGACCGGGACAGTAAGAGCAACAGAAACCATCTTTTTGGAGTCAATATTCTGACAGATGCGGCTACTCAGTTAGTGGTTGAACCTGGCGTGTGCGCACCGAGATGGCATTATAGGGAGCACTTGCGAAACTCCAACAGAAGGGAGATACGGGGCTCATTCGCTCCCACTGCTGACAGGCCGGGAAGAAGTAGTATCCGCGGACACGGTTCGATATATGCGTGAAGCGAAGCTTTCCGAAACGCATGTTTCCTTGATAACTCACGTTGGTTCTCAGATACGCATCTTGAGAGGCCACCGACTCAGAAGCCCGCTCTCACCTAAAGCGGGCCTGCGATATGACGGATTGTATCTTTGATCCCCCATTTAATCTGCCACATTTTCTAACAGATGGCAGATATACTATTCGACAATACGGCCACAAGCAAAACCCGAAGAACCGGCTGCATCGAATCATCGTGACGCTGGAAAGAATCGCGGGCCAGCCAAGCATGGCTGATCTAGCCAAAGTCCCTCGTCCGTCACAAATGGACGACTGGGTGCTGTTTGAGAAGTTCGAAGGCGAAATGATCCGGCAGAACCATGGCGAGCAGAGCTTCCTGGACTGGAAAGTGATGAAGGCGCAGGAAAGGATGGAGCAGCAACAATGGCGACGAGCGCTCGAAGTTGGAGCTGCTCTGACCACGGCTCGGCATGCCAGGTACAGCTACGGAATGCGAGATTTGGGGGTAAAGCAGACGACCTAGATCAGCACCTAAAAACATTACGATTACAACGCGAGAGAAGTTATTAAGTTATATGTGCATCCCTGGCCATTGTGACTTTGTAACCCTTGAAAGATGATGGCAAGATGAAGTGCTAAATCCAGCCATACCTAACTCGAGCGTTTTAGGAGGGGCTTATTCGGGGGCGGGGGCTCATACAACTGAACAAGACTTCACTCATACATCGTATCCGCGATATCACATGCGCAAACCGCCAACGATGGGGAAAAACGACAAAAAATCCGGCGACAAGGGCGGCGCCAAGGGAAAGGGGGCCGAGGGCAAAGAGTCTGGAGGGAAGACCAAAGGAGCCATGTCTATCAACGTTCGACACATTCTGGTATGACCTGCTGAGGCCGCTGTAAAGTAGCCGCTGGACCTATGCCTTTATTTATGATTTTCAAACATTTCTTATTTTCTTCTTTTTATCATTACAATTATTTGGGCCGCAAATGACGTCACCGCTAATTTAGGCGAAAAGTGCGAAAAACATGCGAGAAAGGAAGAGGCTCTTTTGAAGCTGAGCGAAGGTGTCAAATTTGATGAGGTTGCCCGGACCTATTCCGAGGACAAGGCACGGCAAGGTACTTTTTTGCTTCTTCTTCTATTGTGATGCTACGCTACCTAGTATTATACGTAGCTGGTGCTCTCAGAGCTAATTTGCTGATAATTTTCTTTTCTTTCGCTATAGGGGGTTCTCTAGGGTGGAAGACCAAGGGGAGTCTGGATCCTACGTTTGAGGAAGTTGCCTTTGCCTTGCAGCCAAGTACTACGGGCAATCCTATCATTGGAGAGGCCAAGACACCGTTTGGCTATCACATTATAATGGTAAGTTTACAAAATTCTACCCACGTTTGTTTCCGGAGCATTGTGTGGTATTAATGCTGGACTGCTTAGGTCGAAGGACGCAAGTGAAAAGGGGAGAAGAGACTTAGAAAAAGGGGTGCATTCAAATATCACAAGACAGAACAAAGGAGAGCCAGAGATTCAGATGAATGTTTGAAGCCGTTTTTTTATTGTTCCCATCATGCAATGTGGCCATGATACAAGGCCTAGAGTACAACCCTAAAGGAAAAGTCGTTTTTTTACGCGTCCTGAAAAGAAACCAAGACCGCACCTCTATACCCCATTAAATCAACACCGTCCATACCCTTTACTGGGAGGTCTGGAAGTAGTTCAGGATGATGGAACGCTCCTGAGACTCCTCACCCCAGTCCTTGACAACGACGCAAGAGCAGTTGACGACCTTGCGGGCGTTACCCTCACGGTCAAGAACGCCTAAAATAAAAATGTAAGTAATTCGTCTTATATCCTCTTTTCTCCGGGTTTTCCCCCCCTCGGATTCGGCTGGATTATCACATACAGAGACCGGCCCACTCGCCGAGCTGCTTGCCATCGGGAACCTTGATCAGAGGAATCTTGTGCTCATTGCAGAGAGCAATGACCAGCTTCTTGTAGGCCTCCTCCTCGCAGTTCTCGTTCAGGACGCACATGTGAGCCTGGCGACGGTCCAGAGCCTTGGAGGCTTCACGGAGACCGCGGGCGAGACCGTCGTGCATGAGAGCGAGCTTGAGAACACCCTTCAGGGCGTCCAGAACGGACATCTGGCCCTTGGGGGCATCTCCAGAAACTTCGACTTCCTCGACGACCTCGGGGGCGTTGTTCTCTTCTACGTCCGACTTTTTTCGCGGAAAAAAAAAATGCCTGCGTTAGCGCTGTGTTTTTTCGTCTAGAGGGGGGTAATTTCGCAATCGACAAAGGTCCAGCGAGGGGCTCATTTTTTCTTGTTGAAATCGGACAGAAGAAAGGAGCATCGATTCGACATGTGCAATTCTGCGAAAATGGGCGAGAAACTCACCATCTTGTTTGTTGTTCTCGTCGGGCGATCCTCGAAGATTAATTGATGTGTGATGAACTAGTGACGGGGGTTTTTGCGTCGTGCGCGAACAGTTGATAGTAGGAGTTGAGAATAACGGGGATTTGCCTAAATCCAGGTAACCGAGTGCGTACCCTTAGGGCATTTTGACGCGCACGGACCACCAGGGCACACAACGCACCAACGGCACAAGGCTGGACCCATTCCAGGGCCCCGTCTAGTTTTTTTCCCTCTATCTCCGGCACTCAGCTCGAACCTCACTTTCTCACTCGACCCAGTCAAACTTCCAAAGAGGTATGTATGGTCTGAATCAACGCCAACAGCGCCCTCGACACGGCGAGATGACGCCTTATATCGTGGCTGGGGACAGCAATCATGAACGTCGGCCCCGATGAGCGACAATGCGATGAACGCGCGATGCACTACTAGTAGCTATCATGCTGTTCCGTTTGGCGCATTGAACGGCTTGGCTGGCGTCTCTTGATACGCTGCTTCCCCTCCGGCAATGAGCAGGCTGAACCCTCGTCGACGGATCGCTGAGGGCACTCTCCATGTTCATCAGAGCCACCCCGAATCTAACATGCATTGTCCATTGGCAGATACCTCATTTCCCAATCTCGACTTGAGAATCTCCATTCAATACCGCCAAAATGGTCCGCACTTCCGTTCTCCACGACGCCCTCAACAGCATCAACAATGCCGAGAAGTCTGGCAAGCGCCAGGTCCTGATCCGACCTAGCTCCAAGGTCATTGTCAAGTTCCTCCAGGTCATGCAGCGCCACGGTACGTTTGATGGAAACATATGCGACTTCACCAATTCACCCATTCCCCTCTTTCCTTTCGGCTTGATAACTAGGGCTACGATCGATACTGCACCACGGTCCAGCCCCTATAAGTGGCCGATATATTATCATGCGGTGGATTTTCAGAAGATTTCTAGAATTCATTTTATCACAACTAAAGTCGCTTGAGGTCTTCCGCAACATTTGGCTAATTCTTTATTCTTTCAGGCTACATTGGCGAGTTCGAGGAGGTCGATGACCACCGCTCCGGCAAGATCGTCGTTCAGCTGAACGGCCGTCTCAACAAGACTGGTGTCATCTCCCCCCGCTACAACGTCCGTCTCGCCGACCTCGAGAAGTGGGTTGTCAAGCTGCTGCCTGCCCGTCAGTTCGGCTACGTTATCCTGACCACCTCCGCTGGTATCATGGACCACGAGGAGGCCCGCCGAAAGCACGTTGCCGGCAAGATCATCGGCTTCTTCTACTAGACAACAAAAAAAAAACTGGCGATGAGAGAGAAATAAAAAAAGGGTTTTGAGGCATTCTCAGCGTTTCAATGGTGATCGCGGTAATAGTGATCAGCATCCTTCGATTTATACCCGGATAGTCACTTTTCTTTTAGCGTACACTTGGCAATAAATCATACACGAGGGCCCAAAATATCTGACTTCCCGGTTCATTTGTGATGCTTTGATGATTTTACAATGCTGGTTTCAACTTCAAGACTGTATGTTGAATTGTATGATCATGATAGGTTTTTCCTGAAAAACCGCCAAATTGTGCCCCTGGAGAAGTCACTGCATGATACCTACTGATGAATGCGAAATGGTGTCCCTCTTCTATGCTAAATACCTACCAAAGGACAAAACCTAGGGAGTAGGCAACTTTTGACAAACTTATAGCTGCAGTGCACGAAAGTGTTTACTTAGACCTTGACATCTGTTTCAGTGACAGACGTCTTCTGCTCCTGCGAGTTATCCGCTGACGCCGCCTCACCACCATCAGTCCCTCTCCACTTTCTCATCATCTCAGAATCTCTCAGCTTCTGCAGCTCATCCTTGACCATATCAGCGAGCTCATCGGGACGCTTCCCAAAGCAGTACATGCCAGCTCCCGCCACTACAACTGACACCACGAGTCCAAAGCAGATAGCCGCGAAAATCCAAATCGCCAGACCACCGAGAAGTTCTGTAATGAACCCGAAGGCGGCGGCGATCAAGAGCGAGAATGGTGCGAGGACCTGGATGATCCTGACGCGGGCAGGATACGTGTAGGATGGCGATGAAGAATCTGGCCGTGACGGGACGCTGAGTCTTATTGATGAGGTGTCGTTCCCCACCATCTGGAAAGAGAGAAGCGCATTATTGCGGTATCCTAGCGTATTCAGGAATATATCGAATTGCTGCCACATGTTTGCTGCTTTATGGACAGGCCGATGAATGATGAGCGGAACACTCGCACACTCTTGGTGAATCTCCCAGAAGAGCAAGAGTGCATCTTCAGCTGGGAACCACGGCAAGTTCGCGCCATCCGTATCACCCGCTCGCACAGTCGCATTTACTTCCTCCCTGCGCCCATCGTCCCCGGCCAGTGCATCGCGGAATATGTGTATAGGCTGCTCCAGCCCCGAGACTGTAAGGGTGAAGTCGGAGATGTTGAACTTGTAGTCAAGCGCAAAGCCCTGCCGGGATTCATATTCGTTCACCTGTACGGGGTCCCTGTAGAAGATGGTTAGGTCAAACTGTTAAAATTCAACTTGATTTGTTTCATATGGCATTACCAATATACTCGACGCAGTGTCTTGCCGCTGAGAAGGACCTTGGTTGCATAGTCGGCTGCATTGTGGGAGCCATTTTCGCTGGAAGGGAAGGGAAGAAACGCCCATAGCAGGCCCAGAAGCAGCCAGGTCCCGAATATCGCCAAGAACAGGCGCCAGATAGCGCGGAACAGTTTCCAAGGACCTATCATTGTGTACCTACCTTGAGAAAGGCGTAAATAGTATCTACCATCTGTCAGGAGAACGACTTAAATGGGAATTTGTAAGAGGATACGGCACCAGCTATATAAGCCACATTACGGCCCCACTAGACTTGATGAGGAAGTTTCGCCCCGGACAGTGCCTAATGGCTTAGGTTAGCAGGTTAAAAATAGTTGCCTTTGCCTTGCAGAGAGCCTTGCAGAGAGCCTTTGGTTGATGCCAGCGGGAAGCTGAAAAGTCCATTTGCAAAGGCTCAGAGGCACCGCGAGAATTCTGAGATCATGCATATGAAGAGCTAGGTAGGTGTAAAGCACTTTACTAGCTTGTTTGAATGTACCAACAGCTACATGACGAAAAGTCTAGGATTGTGCATGATATCTATAAAATCTTAATTTGATTGGCTAAAAGGGTTGAGCCTAAAATATAGCCAATAGACGCTTGTTAATTCCAGCTGTGGCTAGTGACTGTGGTGGCTTAGCTGAAGCTAACGCTCACTCAGTCTGTGCCTGCGCTGAAAATCAGATGCCTTTGCTTTACAGAGAGCCTTTAGCTGGCTTCCCCTCCACTAGCGGCAGCCCCGCTGGTTGCTGCCGTCGCCACTGGCCCAAAAGTAAACAAACCCAGAATCTTCATGTTGCTTGCTCCAGCGGCAAATCTGATGCTGGTTTGCAATGGTTTTCTCATTTTTGGAATAGAGTGTTGCCAGCTGCGTTCTCATGGCCTAATTGGCGGTATAATTTTTTTCTTTTTCATTTTGGCTTAACCTTTTCTTGGGGGTGAGATTGTCTCGGAGCCAGAACCCAAGATGCGGCGGCGTCCGTATTTCCCTGTTGTGGCTGTTTTGCTCTTTTGTTACTGCGCATATCTCATCTTCAGCTTGCCAAACGAGCACTTTGATGCCCTGGTTACTCCTCTCTCGCAGCCTCTCCAGCAGCAAAAGCATGACCAGCATCCTCTGCAAGCAGCAGCATCGTCATCGTCAACAGCGCCAACCAAGCCTAAACCCACCTCACAATCTCCAGTGGTATGGGAAGACTTGCCAGTCGTGACGGGCGGGCCGAAGCCAAAAGCAGCCCCTGACTCGGCGATACATCCGATAATTCATCTCGTTAAAGATGCACAGAAGCAGTTTTCGGAATTGAAGAAACGACAATCCAAGTCTCTGGAGGAGGCCGTTAGAGAGTATCGCAGGCGATATGGCATACCCCCTCCTCCACACTTCGATAAGTGGTATAAGTTCGCCGTGGACAACAACGTACAGCTTATTGACGAATACGACATGGTTAATGATATGATGATTCCGTTCTGGGGTCTTAGGCCCAAGACTATTCGTGCAAGAGTGACAGAGGCACTTGGCTACGACAATGGGTTGATTGGTGTCGCTATACGAGACGGCGAAATCACGCATGCGGAGCACGGCTTCGAGTGGCAGAGAGAGGCCACGAAAGGAATGATGGAAAAGTTCAAGCAGTACTTGCCGGATATGGATTTGGCCTTCAACATTCACGACGAACCTCGTGTGGTGGTTCCGCACGACGATTTGAATCGACTGGTTAACAAAGCCAAGAACGAAAACATGGCTTCTTTGAGCGCGAGCAAGAAGCTCGTCAATGCATTTACCAAATCACCTGATCTAAACGACGGCAGAACATTCAAAGAAACGAAGCTATCGCGGTTTAGCTCTATTCAATACTCATCTACCTGGGGAGACTCTCGCATGTCCTGTCCGCCCGATAGCCAAGCCAGGATCCTCGAAGATGAGCGTGCAGACGACTTGAGCAGATACGGAATTAGCGATCTTGCCTTTATTTACAACACAACTGCCATGTCCGAAATATGTCTAACACCCTCTCTAAGCTCAACGTATGGCTTTTTCGATCGCCCTAATACGTTCAGGGTCACCCATGATCTGCTACCCATATTCTCCCAGTCCAAGGTGTCGTCTTATGGAGATATCATATATCCGTCTCCATGGTATTGGTACAAAAAGGTTGCCTACAACGAAACCAACGATATGCCGTGGGATGAGAAGGAGAGCAAGCTTTACTGGCGAGGCTCTACCACTGGAGGGTACAGTCGCAACGGCGGCTGGAGGAGGCACCACCGCCAGCATTTTGTACAGAAGATCAACTCCAGAGAGCAAGCCAAAGTGATGACCAACAGTGGCGGAGCCGGAAATCGCAAATGGGAGGCCAAGGAAGTTCCTCGTGGAGAATACCAGAAGCTCATTGACGTGCATTTCTCTCACGTAGGCCAATGCGACCCGGGAGACTGCGAAGCGCAAAGAGAGTTCTTTGACGTCGTTGACCTAGTTGACCAGCAAGACGCCTGGGGATACAAGTATCTCGTTGACATTGACGGCAACGCCTTCTCCGGCCGCTTCTACGCCTTTTTGCAGAGCAAAAGCTTGACGTTTAAACTTGCCTTGTTCCGCGAGTGGCACAACGAATGGCTAAAACCTTGGGTGCACTACGTGCCGTTGAGCCTCCAAGGAGACGACTGGCTTGAAGCAGTGCGTTTCATCAATGAAGACAGCGAGGGATCTGCCAAGGGGCAGGAAATTGCAAAGGAGAGTCGCGAGTGGGCCAATAAGGCGGTTAGAAAGGAAGATATGGAGGCGTGGTTTTTCAGACTGCTTTTAGAGTGAGTTTCTCTCTCCCCTTTGTTTTTGAAGATATTTGACACGTACTGACATCCCGCAGATATGGACGGGTAATTGACGATAATAGAGCCAATCTTGGGTATGATGTATGATTGGGCGGCATGGAATGGGACAGCGAGCATTATATACCAGGCGTTTATATGAAATGATACCATTATTTGTTATATATGTATACATACATACACATATAGTATTACACTATCAATTGGAGCAAGCACGAAAAGAAACAGTACAATGTCGGACCGTCACGTCTTTCTTTTCTTCTATCGGCATCTGCCACCGTTACAACTCGTTATGGATGTTCTTCTTCTTACCAATTTAATACTTTGGGGCATGAGAGGGTCACATAGTTTCATTAATGCCGATCTATATACCTGATAAGCTACCTGGATGTAAAATCCCATCCGCACCGGCAACCGTCCTCGTAGCCCCATTTCCCTCCTTCTGTGTTCTCCAAGTTAAGACGAAAACATCGCTTTTGAAAAATCAATTTTCCCAAAAGATAAAAAAGTCCAAAAAAAAAAGAGTTTGAAATTGATCAAGAAAAAGCACATTCAGAGCGGATGAGCAAATCACTCAACATCTCAAATCTCATCCTCCTATCAGCAAAGTCTAATCTTCGTCTTCGTCCTCATCCCCTTCAGCGTCATGATCAGCAGAGGGAGACCGCTCATGGTACTTCTCAGCCGGACTGGAAGCTCCATTACGATCAGCGTCTTCGCCCTCGGCATCGCCATCCGCGTCAACATCGCCCTCCTCGATAGACCTCTCAACGCCATGCTGTAGTTCTTCTTCTTCGTCCTGCTCCCAGCCCATGGGATGCCGTGCGTACATTTTCATGGCGGCCCTCATCTCCTCTGTCGGGTCATCGACGGTGAGGTCTAGCTGGTCGACGACTTGCGGCTCATCGTCCTCAGCAAGGCCGTAATTTGTGCGCGCAATGTTCCTGGTGCGTTGGGGACGGATAGTAGACCTCTGCATAATGGGGTAGTAGAATACAGCCTTTTGGCTAGAATCGGTGTCTTTCTCGTTGGTGGAGAGGATGATTTCATCTTCATATTTGGTCGGGTGATCGAGCTCCGTCTCCTGGGCAGTCTCGTACGCCCTGATCCTGTTAAACTGGAAGTATCCCCCCGTGTCTCCCCTGTGGGTATACAAGTCATCATCGTCACGGTCTGCGTCGTCGACATCAAACTTGCGGCGGAAGCGGTCGGCATCGGCACGGCTCTGGCCAAGGTAGAAATCATAGTTCATCAAGTTGGCCGGCTTGGGGTTGCTGACCGGGTCCTGGTTGTAGGCCTCCATGGCGGCCTCGAGCGCTGCTTCTTCGGCCGCCGTGCGGTCTATCGGCCTGAAAAGGCCGCTGCGGAGACGATTATCATACTCGTTGGAGCTTGAGACGGGATTTGTGAGGAACTTGATAGTAACGTAAGCACCAGAGTCGGGAAACGCGTCCAGGTCGGGCACCAGGGGCAGGGCATCGACAAGCTTGAGGTGCTTCTTGGAGGGGTGCTTGATGCGCTTGGGGTCCTTGAGATCCTGCTCCGCAATCTCGAAGCCCTTGTCGATCTTGCGCTTGATGACCTGCGGAGAGTCGGCGGCGGGTTCTGGGCGCTTGGCCGGTCGTCGAGACTTGGCCAGCAGGGCCCTGGGGTGGTTTGCCTCGAAGCGTTTCGGGACCAGGGACGAGATATATTCTGTTCGGCGGAGGAAAGAGACGTTGGCCTCGGCAACCTTGGGCTTACCAAGGGCAGCAATAGGTCTGAGAAGAGCTCGATCGTGCGGGTGGAGGGCTAATGGCTGTGATGGTGCTTGGATTGCTGCGAAGTCATCCCTAGGTCAGATCCAACTCGGCGTCAAATTAACCACCCAAGAATCAAACCGCACTCACATCGTTCATCTCCATCAAAGACGCCCGGCATTCCCACCAAGTCGAGCGGCATGCCCAGTTCGGCATCGGCCTCGATGTTGAGCGGCTGCTCTCGCGCCAGACGTGATGCAAACCCCGGCGTCGTGTATTGGCCGCTTGAGAGGCCGGTGTTGGGGATGTCGAGCAGCTTCGGGGGATTAGGCGGCGGAGGCAGAGCATTTGAGAAGCGGATTCGCGCGATGAAGTCCTGGTGAATCACGCGCTCGCCCGAGCGAGCTCCTGAGGACGACATGCTGTGTCCCTTTTCTCAGCTGGAATCTGCCGGCTGACGTGCTTTCGTGTATGCAGTGGAGGCAGGCAATTGAGGCAGCAATTATCAACAGGTTGCTCAATGAGTTTCGGTGCCTCTATCGCCAATTGCTGCTTTGGAGGCTGATTGGAGGATGTGGCGGAGTGTTGGTGGTGATGGAAGAGGAAAAACGGTCGTCGCGCGCGGCACAAGGCGAGAGCCCTGCGAGGCTGTAAATCTGAGGCCAAGCTCTGCGGTTCCCCACCACGCGGCTTTTGTACAACCAGACGAAGACCAGCCATTTCTGAGCCAAATGAAAGGCTTTCTGTCGGTAATATGAAAGTAAAATGCCGCAGATGATAAAGAATAACAACTCCCAATTTCTGAGGCGTAAAAAAGTATTTCATTAAATTAAAATATAATAGGTAGCTGGCTCTCTTTGAGAGTTCGTCTCCAAGACCTGATTCCCATGCGATTTCGTATCAGTCATCCCTGGTCTAACCCATCCATCTACGCCTTTAGAGCATTCATCGATAGGCCCTCAATCGCTTTTTGTAATCCCTTTTAAAAGCCCATCTGTTTGCCATACACTCATCTTTTTGCATCCAGCCCACCAAGCACTCTGGCTCTTTGTAGGCTATGGCAATCTGTTTCGACTTGACGTCGACCCATTTAAAAAAAGTCCATCTCCAATATTCCATTTCAAACCCTCAAAGAGAAAATTAAGTCTCTAAGCAATCGAAATGCAATCTGCCTACGACCGGTCCTTGTTGTAAGACTTCTTGCCAACGGAAAAGGGCACGTAGCGGTACTTGATCATGTGCTGGATTTGTCGGCGCACTGCAGGATTTTGGTTAGCATGTATACGACAGGCATTGCATTGTAGAGAGGGCTCTTACTGGTAAGGACAAAGAGAATCAACCAGTACATGACCAAGACGGGCCAGAAGACGGGCACGTCAAAGATGGCAAACCAGGTGCAGAGAAAGGCAATGCCAATGGCTCTGGTTGCCCAGTACCAGAACTTGAATTCGGGAAGACGTCTGATAAAGGGCTTGAATTCTTCGTCTCGGTTGGTTGGGAGGGTGCCAACAGAGCCATCTTCCATCTCGTTATCCAGGGCGTCGCTCGAAGGGTCGAATTTCGGCTGGAGGAAGGCCAGGAACAGGTTCAGGAGATAGATTCCTAGGGCATAGGCAACTGTTTTGGACACAATCTGTTAGTTTCAATTTGAAATTTCACATACTCAATCTTCTTTTCCTCCTATAGGTCCGAGAAAGCACGGTTGGGGATAGAGCCGCCACTTACCAATATACCATCCCTGCGCGAAGAATATGCGCAAGAAGAACATCAGCAGAGCCACGCCTGTGCCAATCCATCGGTATGTGACAAATGGAGTTGACTGATCCAAGATCGCTTGATATTGCTGGTCACAGTTAGCACTTGTAAGCTCGGGAAAATGCAGCGGGAGGGCAGGCCTACTCTCTGCAACTTGGTGGTATGGGCTGTGACGGCCGCGAAAGGGGTCTGTTCGGGCTCTGGCGCATCCATCTTGGCGGGTTTAATCAAGTCGCCCTGAAGAGGAATCGGAACGAGGCTTTGATGAGGATGGACGATGAAGAGAGCGGGTTGCCGCGCCAATAATCAGACAGTCCAGGCAACTGAATGGGGAAAAAGAAGTTGATGGGAACAGATGGGTTGCTTAATCGCGAAACAAGCTGATGCGGCGTGGGGCGCAGGGCCAGCATGTGCTTTGCGTCCGCTTCCATTTTCTTCGGATTCAGCCACGTAAGGCTTGACCCCTGGCCGCTAGCGGGTACAGGCCGGTGTTTTGCCGGTGCCTGCAGCAAATCCAGGTACCTGCGGAGTAACTGTAGTTTCTCCGAAGCCCATTGAATTGTGATCTTCAAAGCAAGACAGCACAAAACGTACGGAGCGAGCACTGGAGCGAGCACTATTGTTAGGTGGGGAATTGTCATTCTGCTGACCAAATGAAATACTTTGGAGAATCAACAATAGATTGAATTGAAAATGTTCCATCATTCACAGTTGAGAGATCCAACAGATGTCTTTTCCATTGTTCTCGATCCGAAGTGCAACACGTGAAGTATCATGCCCTACTTGCAAACAGTTTATATACTAAGATTTTCGCCGCTTAGTCCCGTCAGTGGGTCAAAGCTCACAATGATAGGCGTCATTGGTCTAGGGGTTAGGATTCAACTCTTCCATTCACCAATTGAAAAGTTGAGGCCCGGATTCGAGTTCCGGATGACGCATTTTTTGCTTGCACAACGTTTGCTTCAATAATTTCTCCTTTGCTCTTCTTTCCGTTATTTCCATTTTTGCAAATGCTACTTTGACATTTTGTCACGTATCTTAAGGTTAACAGAAATTGGTCTCACATGTAAAAAGTACAGATGGATTATGCAATTGCGATTCTCACCAAGCTTACGACATTTAGCAGACTTATACTATTGCCTCGCAACTTTGGATATGGAGTAAAGTACTTCGTTCACTAGTTTAACACAATTTTCTATAGTACAAAAAGTGAAATTAGCTACCTCCGTTCATGTGGTCTGCAGTCAAAGTCGAGTTTTGCGAGACGATACGGTATGTGTATACGTGTGCCCAAGCCATCATTATTCCAAATATCCCATTGCCCATTATGCTGTATTCTCTTCGACATGTGTCACTTCTTCGCCAAAGTCATCCTTCTTCGCCTGCATCTGAGAGAGCACTGCTGCTGAGACACCGGTTGACGCGCCGCCGCCCACTTTGGCTTCGTCGCCGTCGAAATATTTGGCGATTTCCTCCAACGGAGTGTTCTAAGAAGGATTTCGTTATTCATATATATGAACAAGGATATAGAGTATGCATCTGTACCTTTGTTTCAACCCAGAGGAAATATACGACAGTAAAAATGACACAGAGAAAGACGTCGTAGAACTGTTATGGATCGCTATTAGCCAAGCACATGTGACTTCCATTGACGATAGAAGATTGATCCATAGGATTCCGACTTACAATGTAGAATCTCCATCCCTGAGACTCGATACCAACCGGGTTGATATACTGGTTGAGCACTGATCCAGCAGGTGAGCAAGATGATACTCTAGTATATAAAGAGAGTGCAAGTACTCACAGTTTGTACTGACTCCGAAAAACGTAACGTTCAGGCCCTTTGCGCGGATTTCGTAGGGCAAAATCTCAATGGGATATGCCAGAAGCAGACCTTGCCTATGCAAATCATGAATATGATGCCACATGCCGGAAAGCACTTCAACTTACCATCCGCAGTTGAATGCCGTGTAGAATAAGAAGATCATCACGATAACGCCCTTTGCATCGGCGCTGTCTCCCGTGATATTATACCGTGCCGAGAGTATAGTCCACAACACAAAGCATATAACCATCGATCCTGTGCTGCCCAATACCATCTTCCTTCTACCAACCTTGTCAATGTTGAACGAGGCCCAGATAGCAACTATGAAATTCCAAATCTGCAGCCCGCCATTGAGGCCAGCTTGCTCGGCATTCTTGGTGATACCAATAGTCTCCAGCACAGGGACGAGATAATACGAAACCAGACCGTTGCCGCACCATTGAGAGAAGAAGCCCTGGAGGTAGCAGATGAGGGTGCGTTTGCGATTGCCTGGCGTGCGGATAAGTTCGAGCCAGCCGCTCTTGGAAGAAAATTCTTGCTCTAGAGCGAGCGTTTCTTTGATCTCGGTGAACGAAGTCTGGACGAACTCAGTGCGCTCGCCGTTGCCATGGAACTTGACGAGGACTTCGAGGGCTTCATCGTGACGATCCTTGGCAATGAGGAAACGTGGGCTCTGAGAGATTACTCTATGTTAAGATATAAGCTTGAAGTAACGGCAAAACGGGTTTACTAACCTCTGGTAACATCCAAATAAAGATAATTTGCACTATAGCAGGGAAAGCCTGGATAATGGACGGAATGCGCCATGCCCAGTCACTGCCGATATTTATCGTTCTGCTTCAGTTAGTTTCCTTTACTACTTCTCAATATAAGCGGTAATAAATACCCAAAAGTCACCCACGCAGCAACAATCGACCCAAAATACCACATCGAGTTGTACACCGCAGTGATTGTGGCTCGGTGCTGCGTGTGAGCCAACTCGGTCACTATGAGAGGCGCACTCCCGTGGTCGATCATGACGCCAAAGCCGAGAACAAATCTTCCAGCGACAAACATGCCGACTACATCATAGTGATCGCGGAGTCAGTATTACTTTGCAAACTCAGTACTTGAAGAGGATGATCTTCTCTCACCATCTATACTAGCGCTCTGAATCGCCACACCAATTATTGCAATGATGCTGCCAATCACGATTCCCCATCGCCTCCCCAGCTTATCTGCAATCGTAGCAGGAAATGGGAATGGAACCACGGCCAAGAGCTGTCCCAGTCCAAAGGCCAGGTTGTAAAACGCCAGCAGCGAGCCGCGCGGATGATGGAAATAATCCTGCCACTGTCCGCTCGTCTGAAGTGCGTTCATCATGGAGCCATCGTAGCCATTGACCATGGACGTCATTAGAGGCACGAGAAGCAAGAGATACAAATGCCGAAGACCCGGCTCGCGCCACCATGTTACCTTTGGAAATTCTTTGTTCGCGAGCGTGAAAGTATTAGACGGCGGAACCGATGACTTGAGGGCGTTGAAGAGCTTCATTATCAGCCACGAACGCTTTATTCTCCTCACTTCTTCAAGACTTGGAAAAAATGAAAGCAGTTGGTCGGTTATAGCCTGGGAAGAGATGGAGGGAGGCTCATATATGTTGGTAACATCTGTGCAGCCGTGACCGGGGTCTACCTATAGGTACATATAGATGAAAGGATACTTGTAGCGTAGATGATGCGGCAAACAAGAGAGGGGAAGAATCTCCCGTCCCCCTTTTCTTGTCATCACGCCACTAATAGAATGGACGATTCTCATGATTCTCAAGACTTGGAATTATCGACGGCTCCTTCATCATCAAAGAGACCAATTCTTTAGTTCATGTAAGTGGGGGAACGTCGGTTTTAAAAAAAAGTGACTAACCGTCACAGCTCCAAGTACCGTAGGCGTTTAGCTGCAAACCGATGCCAAAGCTGGGATTTATGGTCTTTGGATGAAGAGATCGGCATTGTATATTCCAAGAAGAGATGTTACCACAATGCCGAAGTCGCAGACACTGGCGGTCTTTTGCCCGGATATATTCGTTTGGTATAAGTAGCACTAGTATAAGCTCATGTTCATTGCGACAGGCCTTTTAGACGTTTATCCTTAGTATTTTAGAGGAAACACTAAGTCTGCTAACATTGAGAAAATCTGGGGGATGAGCATTGAAAACTGGAGAGAGAATGGTGAACAAGTGGAGTTTTGATGTGCTTTAGCCGGTGAGGGGAGCTTGGGGTAGCATCTGGATATGGTTCGTCGCGTCAGCTTCTCCGATCGCCAGCTCGGCTATTTTCCGAAATCAATTCGTAGGCGAAGGTGCACATGAGGTGACATGAACAATATTTTTACAGTTACATCGCAATATCCAAATCCGTATGGCATCGTTTCAAGAACTCGCGGGGTATCAGCGTGGAGGCGGCGGGGAACTCAATCTCATGTCCACATGAAGATCATGACTACTCTTAAAGCGTGGGGAAGTCATCCGAGATCGCCTTCTTAGACTTATTAATATGGTAATAACTTCTATTCCGCCATCTTGAGAGCCGTCAGGCGAGACGGCGGCTCCTCGGCGTCAACAGAAACCACTTCTGTTGTTGATATATCTAGACTAGTATAAAATCTACTTATATCAACTTCGCTCTCATTTCTCTGTTGATGAACATACCGCAAACGTTACTAAAGATACATGAAAACCCGAACTTCAATTTCAACCATGGCCACCTACCTACGGACAAATATCCACGACGGCTGGACCTTCAAGCAAGCAGACAAGCCAGACTCAGATTTTCGTTCCGTCGCCCAGTTCCCAACCGTCATACATCTCGATCTACTACACCACGGACTAATTCCAGATCCGCCAAAGGATAGAAACAGCGAACTCATTCAATGGGTCGGCGAGAAGCAATGGCTCTACAGAACTTCATTCACCTCACCGCAGGCACCATCAGGCAGCGGCAAGACATCTCACACAATGGTCTTTGATGGCCTCGACACATATGCCAAGATCAGTCTTAATGGCAAGGAGATTGCCAGCACAGCCAACATGTTTCTTCAATATCGTGTAGATGTCACAGATACATTGAAGTCAGCGGGTGGAGAAAACACGCTTGAGCTTCTTTTCGACTCTGCCTTTTTAGAGGGCAAACGGCTTGAAAAAGCGCAAGGCTATAAGAACTTGTTCTGGAATGGCGATTCGTGCCGTATGAATGTCCGCAAAATTGGATGTCATTTTGGATGGGATTGGTGAGATTTTCAAGTACTTTGATAGTGATATTGTTCATTCGGCTGATTGTCATGAATTACAGGGCGCCAACGCTGCTAACCTGCGGTCCATGGAGACCAGTCTATCTCGAGTCCTTCGTCACTCGTATCGCTGATTTGAACATCGACATTGATGTTACAGATTCTCTAGACTCTGCAACTGTAAACGCCAATCTGGAGCTACAAGGTCCTGACAACAACGATAAGTTGGTACAAATCAACATCAGTGGTCCAGATGATGAAACCGTTTTTACCGGAAGTGGGAATAGCAGTATATCCATCAAAAACCCACAACTATGGTATCCAGTAGGATATGGAACGCAGCCGCTGTACACAGTGACGGCCACTCTGGGTGACCAAAAGATCACTCGCAAAGTCGGCATCCGCCATCTCCGTCTAATTCAGCGACCTCTTGAAAAAGGAGCTCCAGGAACGACGTTCTTCTTTCAAGTGAATCAAATCCCCATATACTGCCGCGGCGCCAACTGGGTGCCCGGAGACACCTTCTTGCCGAGGATCAATGCAAAGCGCTATCGCCAATGGATCGAACTGGCACTCCATGGAAACCAGAACATGATCCGCGTCTGGGGCGGAGGACTCTACGAGGATGATTCGTTTTACGAGATTTGCGACGAGCTTGGAATTCTCATATGGCATGATTTCCAACTTGGATGCGGTGTATACCCCGTATCGGATTTCATGACCAACACCATCCGCGAGGAGGCCATATATAACCTTAAGCGGTTACGCCACCACCCTTCAATCGTCCTGTGGTGCGGCAACAATGAAGACCACATGTTTGCAGAGCTGCACCATCTCGAATACGACATCAACGACAAGAACCCAGACAACTGGCTAAAGACAAACTGGGCAGCACGCTGGTACTACGACAAAATGCTACCCGACATCTGCACCGAGCTCGTTCCTCGCGTGCCGTATCACAACTCTTCCCCCTGGGGAGGATCGTACAGCAACGACGCAACTGTGGGCGACATCCATTCTTGGAGAGTATGGATGGCTGATCAGCCACGATATCCATACCAAGACTATGAAAAGCTCACCGGTCGTTTCGTGGCGAGTTTGGCATGAAGTCGTCCCCCGCCGTCCGCAGCGTCCGTCAACTTATAAGCGATCCCTCAGAGAGACACCCCCAGTCACGCACATTCGATAACTGGTTCTGCGCACCAGAAGACCAGCGCACGCTGTCAATGTACTTGATTGATAACCAGAAGCACAACCACGCTTCGTTATCAGCATACGTATATGCCACTCAGCTCAACCAAGCCGAGGCAACGGACTACGCGTTGAGACCGTTCCGGCGTCTTTGGAAAGGTCCTGGACAAGAGGAGTGTGCTGGAAGTCTGATATGGCAGCTCAACGACTGTTTCCCAGCAGCGAGTTGGTCCTTGGCCGATGCGTTTCTTCGTCCCAAGCTGGCTTATTTTGTTGCAAAGAGAGATTATGCGCCCATTATTGTTGGCTGCACAAGAACGACAGTTGAAACCCCTGCTGATGAATTTACTAGAGTGTATATAAAGCGAGTTACCACGGCAGATGTCTGGGCCAGCAACTGCACCGTTTCTGAGGCAAAGTTGACCGTAACGACAGTCTTTTATTCTGTATTGGATGGTAAACTGCTGGCCTCTGAGTCCGAAGAAGTGGCGCTACCGCCAAACCGCTCAATAGAGCTGCGAAAATTGAAATTTGAGGAAGACAAATGGGGAGTCAAGCAGGAATCTGTAGTTGTTGCTACAAAGCTGACCAAAGATGGAGCCGTGCTAGCTCGCTATATCAACTTCCCACAACCATTGAGACATCTCGACTTGACCGCTACAGAGGTTACCGTCACCAAAAAAGACGTCAATGTCTCTGATAAATCGTTCAAGCTTGCTGTTTCGGTGAAGAATGGTGTGGCCAAGGGGGTAGAATTGATGATCGACTCTGTGGACCCGGACGTTGCGGACAGTTTCACCTTTAGTGATAATGCTTTGGATCTAGTTCCAGGCGAGGAGCAGATTGTAATTGTTACTGCTGTCGCCGATGCAAAGATTGATATCGGCGAAATTGGAGTTGTAGAGCAGCACTATGGCTCGATAAGTTTGGAACCGGAGAATTAATGGGATTGTATGTCTGGAGATGCGACTTCGGTAGCTTAGGTAGACGCTTATACAGATACGTTATAGATGACGAGATTACACTGGATTGGGTGGATCTAGATAAATCATGCAGTCTTCAGAAAAGAGATGAACTTGATCTTGTGGGTATAACCTCGTTTATGCGGGATACAAAACAAGAGCTTCGTCAGTCAACCACTCCCCTCCATCTCTCCTCCAAAGTTGCAACAGCTTGTGTGACATCCCATGTAGTCTCCTCTTTGATCCGATGTAGTAGGTCCAGTAAATGCAGTTGAGAACTGCGATCTTTCAATGTACGGCCACCTAGCTTCTCATTTAGCAGTCCATAGCTTTCATCTGTTCATGCACATGTGCTTTACTCACAGTATGATAAAACATCTGCAGCATTTACCAGCGCCCCTGGATATTTACAACTTTTATACAGAGTCAATCCACGGACGATGCCGCAAATTCGTATGGTATGTTCGACAGCTTCTGACTGCGAGTGAAGGTGAGCTAAGAGTAATGTATACGACGTCAAAGTAAGGGCTCACTGTATTCTCGCTAGAAGCATCAACATCTGTTGACTGCTTACCTAACATGAATATTACTTTGCAGAGATGATAGAACTGCATTGCCACAGCTAGCACAACCAGAAAAGTCAGATCACCTATTCCAATTCGTTAATACAAATTGGCTCAAAACGACTTACTGTGCCAAATACATGTATAATGAACCGCGGGAAATGGGTTATCATCAGTCACTATAGAAAGCGGACCAAATGTATTCGGCAGGCCCTGCCGCCAATCATCCACCAACTTGATCAACATGTTGTGATGCTCAATGGCTGTTGTGGATACGTCTGGGCTAAAGTAGTGGTTAATAACTCGTGCAGTGATCCAGATGATGTTGTTTGTCCAATCATCATCTGAGTCTCCGTCAAATACGACGTAGTATGTTTTATCTGAGGTGTCGATATTAGTCGGACAACAGCTGCGCAGAGCAGTCAAGATTTCTTGGCGGACATATGTCCAAAACGCAGTGTGCTTGAGACTGCCCGGTCCAAACTTATTTGCATTATGGCTGAAAAGAGATAATGATCCTCGCAAATGGCTTTGTAGATCACCCTCGGCATTGTGATCGCTCAGCATCTCGTGCATTCGAAGAATCACCGTCGATAGCGCCAGTGCGCTCTCAGAGGCGCATGCTATATCTTTCAACGCGGCTATAAGTCGGTGTACACAACTGTAATGATATTCATCTGCCAGCAGTGGATTGAAATTAGGATCAGAGCGGCTCAGATACCGCGCCGAGAATGCAAAGATTGCGTCGAGAAGCATAGGACATTTCATAGCCAGCTGAGGCACAGACGCCGAGAAGTGATGCCTTGGATCATTTAATGCCAGCTGTACCCGTTCAGCTTGATATTAGCTGCTGAAGAAACATTGTAACTATAGACAATTTTGGTAGAAGAACTTACCCATCCGCTTAGATGGTCAGTATAGAGAGTCAACAGACGCGCTTGTTCTGGGTCCTTCAAAGCCTCCCGTGGTTGTGGTAGATATATGGGCAGAGTTGAGTTTAGAGCTCCGATCAAGCTTCCAACAGGAGTACTCGTAGCTGGGCTACAAGAGTGAACTCCTAATAGAGAGGGCGAAACTGGAGGCAGGGACATATGGAGCCCGTCAGATTCAATTTCCGTTGGAGCAGGTGGCTGATATGCTTTTTCATGTGAGTATAGCATAGTCACATCTTCCCTTTCAGCTCAGCATATTCTCACCTGATGGGCTGGTTTGACTTGATGTTGTGTCCTTTTCTGGCACATTGGAAGGGCTTCGGCCGGCTTTCAGTGTCTTCAGACGCACTTGATGAGCGAAGCGCACTCCAATAGTTGGATTAGCAGACAGCGAAGATTCCACCACCGATGTACTCACCAGAAGACGGAACATTAACCCAGACATGGTCTTCTGGAAAGACAAAATATTCACTGTTTCCCAGAGCAGTACCATCTAGGCTGTTGGCACGAGGCCGTTCAGAAAAGAAGCACGATCGGCCAGCTTTCTCGCAGCGCTTACATTCCGGTCTACGCTCGTCGCCTAAAGCATTGTTAGCTTGGGTAAGAATATCAGGTTAAGAGAAGGTTAATAGGATGAATTGAACTATCAAGAATCTTGAGAAAGCAGATAGGTCGTGACGACCAATTGAGAATGCTAAGATACTCCACAGTAACTTACACTTGAGGTGGCGTTTTCTGCACGTTAAGCTGTCTCACATTAGGCCAGTTAATAAATGGTTGAAAAATATAAAGACTATCATCAGAGATATAAAAGGGCTAGCGAGAATCTCCGCCGTTGGAAGTGGTGTGTTGAACTGAAAAGTCTTACCACCCTAATCCGTGTTAGTGAGGCGCATGGAAGTCATGATATCTGCATATGCTGCGTACCTGTCTTTACGCGCCTCTGACCGCTGCTGGAAGCCATTTCAGGTCCAGGTGAAATTGGGCTCCCTCAATCTTGTTTGCAGCTGAACCGACTCTTGGATCATCCCATCAGCTACTCGTGCTGAAGATCATGTGAGAGGAAATTAAGGCGTGGCGGCCTGCATGGGGCGAAGTTGGAGACGTTCGATCTATGGAGAGACCCACGGAAGCTTCGTTCCCCGCGCGACTGCAGGTTTGCGGAGATTCGAGCCTTGTTTTAGCGCTGAAAAAGCTCCAGTTGGACTTTCCTTCATAGGCAGTATTAGGAGCTCTGCTGCTTATTTTGAGATTCTTATGCACCTGGGCAGCTATATTAGGCTGCTCAGTGGCTACACGGGAAATCCTACTCAAAGCACATGTGGCGAAGATACGTGGCTCAGCCTCGACAATGCTTCGATTGCAGCAGGTTGGGCTGCCGTATGATAGGTATAGTACACGTATTCAAAATTATTTACCTGCATGTATTTACCCGTTTAGCGATATTTAGGCTTTCGGCTTGGCTACAGAAACTTTGGCTATAATGCAACTTCCAACCATGAATTTTATACGAGAAATCTCACTTTGTGATACTCATTTTTAAAAAAAAAACGGAAGAATAAGAGAAAGAAAAAAAGGAAAAATTCCGAGTGTCTTTTTAAAGCCATCAGCATTCTAGTCAGAAGTCTGCCCTGTCCTCTCTTCAATCACCAATCTTTTCTGTGTGAGATTCGCTGCCTTGTTATCACGAATTTTATTGTTTTCTTTTGAAGTAGCCTCATGTTGCTTCATTGTCTACAAGAAGATCTACTGGATTGAAGATACAATGCAACAATATCTACAAAGCTCAGGCCTAGCCAACGCAGATGGCATCAACAAAAGTCTCCGTTGAAGAAGCTCCACAATGCCATATAGGGTAGATTTGATACAGCCAAGTCTGCCCATTAGCGGCAGACATCGTGTTGTCTCAGACACGAGATGTGGAGAGGCGAAGATCCCTGTCGCTGTAGGTGGGCTGCAGCGCTGCAGCTCCCCCAGCACGACCTGCATCGTCCGTTATAGCCTGGCCTCCCAAAGGAACCCGAGCAGGCTGTGTTTCCAAACCAATCACCGCGCAGTCGTCATTCTCGCCTCACGCTCACCTTTGTCCTACGGCCTCGAGGGCCTGCGTCTCTGGCGCAAGGCTTGCTCCGTTAGCATTTAAATCAGGCGATCCCTTTGCGCAGTCATCCACCTGAAGCATACGCCTCAGCACAAACAGAAGCAAAGAAGCCATCACCGTCTTCACCAGTAAACAGTAAACAATGCGAGAGCCGCCTGAAGACGACTGGTCCTCCTCTGGCAGCGAGTCGCCGCCTCCAAGGCCAGCGCCAGCGCCAGCTCCAGCACCCCATCAACAGCATCAGCAGCATCAGCAGCATCAGCATCAGCAGCATCGTGCGCAAGCGCCGCCGCCATCGAGGCGTCAAAGCATCGCCAACCGCCTGCTGGGGGCCGTCCAACAGGTTCGCAAGGACAACAAGGAAAAGACCAAGAATGAGCCGCAGCCAGCGCAAGCCAAGCGGCGCGCATCCGTCGCCGCCGACAAGACGTCGCCCATGAGCCGCATCCGCACGTGGCTGGACAACTGCAACGAACAGCACGACTATCACTGTTGCGCCGATGACGAGGACATGGACGCCAACACCTTCCACCCCGTCTATCTCGTCGACTCGGCTGAGCGCTGCTTGGTCAAGGCGAAGCCGCGGGATCGCTACCTTGCCCTGAGCTACGTCTGGGCGCCACTGGGCCAACGGCGCGGAGGACCCAGCGAGGTGGTTCAGCTGCTCAGATCCAACGTTGAAGAATATCAGTCGGTGCTCCCCGAAGTGGAAATGCCAGAGACTATTCTCGATGCCATGTATCTGGCAAGGAAACTGGGCTTGCGCTACCTGTGGGTCGATCAGCTGTGCGTCGTCCAAGATGATGATGTCGACAAGGACAACCATGTGCGACACATGCCCTACATCTTTGCAAATGCCTATCTAACCATCGCCGCGGCGCATGGTGACCTGTATACCGGCCTTCTTCCCATCAGCCCGCGGCGACATGCTCGTGAAGCCCGCGAAGCCAAGCCTGCTAGTAACAATAAGGACCACAACGAGCTGCTTCGGCAGTCCAAGTGGAATACTCGTGGGTGGACTCTACAAGAGCATCTCTATTCGCGACGAGTTGTGTTTTTCTTCCAGGAGGCTGTGACGTGGGAATGCCATTGCGATCTATGGCAGAAAAACTCCGCAAGCATCATACCCAAACTGCGAGGGGGCAATAACCGACAGCAAGACTGCACCAATCGTGTTTCTGAACCCGTGCTTGGTTTTCAGCATGCCCCATGGCCTGACTTGGACGAGTACGCTCGTATAGCAGCCGATTATAGTGCGAGAAGGGTGACATATGTTGAAGATACTCTAAGGGCATTTTCAGGCATCACCTCCATGCTGTCCCGTACATTTTCGGACGGCTTCATGTTCGGAATGCCGCTCATGTTTCTCGATATTGCTCTGCTCTGGAGACCGCAGGCTTCGATTCGACGGAGAGCGCCACCGCGAGCTCCCTTCTTCCCATCGTGGTCCTGGATGGGATGGTGGTATGATGGTGTACCTGTCGATTTGATATTGTGGAGAGCCGCGGCAGACTATATTGAAGATGCAAGTTCAACGAAAGTAGGATCAACCTCGAAACGCTTTCAATCCTTGCAGACTTTCAGAATAAAGAGCACTATCACCTGGAACTTGACAGACAGGGCTTCCACAGTTCCCGTGGCCAACACAGGACTGAAATACCGAGAGCTCCGTTCTCGCAAGAGTGCTGGCTCGCAGCTACCCCGTGGTTGGTCAAAAAGCGGATCTTCCTTCAAGCATGACAGCGACAGAGGAACACTCTTCAGATATCCTGTGCCGGTCGTGGATCCTCCCAAAGATGGACTGCACGCGCCAACACCCTCAGAGCAAACTTTCCCCGGACCGCTCTTGTCTTTCAAGACGGTCGCCGGATTTTTCGACGTCGATCTCGCCGATACCATGGCGCCCAAGGATCACTCGAATCCTCACATTGCTATTGGAAACATCTGGGGCAAGTCTGGCAAGTGGATTGGCGAGTTTCGAGCTCACGATTCGTGGCTGGGCGTACAGACGTCCAACTACGAGGGAGGCGAAAAGCTCGAATTCATCGCCATAAGCACAGGAATGGAGCGCAAGGGCTCATTCATCTTTACTCCGGAGAAATTCGAGGAGAACAAGGACGCGGACGGCATACTGGACTTTGTGAATGTGTTGTGGATTGAGAGGATCGGCACTGTTGCGTATCGACGGGGAATCGGCCATATTCTACTCAAGGCCTGGAATGCGCAGGCACGAGATCAAGTTGATATTGTTCTCGGATGAGGGTTTCCGGAGAGTTGTCTTGGTATAGCTAGAGGTTATATGTCGAGCGTGGGCGTTTATTAGGGAGGTTTTAGTCTTGAGCCTATTATGACGGCGGCGGCAAAGGTCAATTTTTGTTCTGTGGCTTGATATCTGTATTTAATTTGCTACTAGGTACCTAATGATTTTTAGTTATTTTCTTAAGTCTTGTACGATTGGTAAAATGGGTTGGCTAGCGGGCAGGCAGGCAGGCAGGCAGGCAGTTATACGGAATTCTTTAGCGTGATGATATCTGTTGGAAGCATGTTTTGTATATATATGGTGTTGTGTGTCATAACTCAAGAAATTGACGATGCATGGCAAGCTTGCATCGCATTAAACGCCCATCACGTGGACGGCCGGGGTCTTTGAGGCCTTGAACATAGAGTACATGTATCACGCTACAATCGTGTAGACGAGCTTACTGAGTGAAGTCGTGATGAAGAATTGGATGGTAAAAGCTCATATCTATGCCAAAGACAGACAAGAGTGCACCTGATACTGAGATTCGATCGCATCTATAGAGTGTGGTATGACAAGCATATATCCGCGCCTTGTCTCACGGTGGCGCTCTTGTGTTAGACAATTCGCTGTCACCTTTGAATATGAGTAAGCAGCATTTACATCATTGATGCCCGACTTACTGGCTACAAGCTTTTGTGATGAATATGAGAAGGCATTTATACTTACAAATATAGTATCAAAAGGCATAATCAATCTCACATCAATTCCAGTGACATCCACTCGGCACGGTGCGAGGCTCCCCATCCACTAAGCCGCCCTGTAGCCTAGCGCCCAGCTTCCCGCCTGACCAGCCCCGTTCTAGCGGCCGCGCCCCCCAGCTTCTCAGCAACCGGGCCTGCGCATCAAATCTGGATCCGGATCGTCACGGGTTTCGTTTTCGCTGCCTCCCCCATTGTCCACGCGACCCCTTGCCAAATGCCTGGATCTGACAAGCGTGGGAGATACATTGCAGTCTCTCTTTGCTTCTGTCACGGTGCTTGCAGTTCGCAGCATCTTTGAAATTCTTTCCATCGAATTCGAATACGAAAGTCGCAGTGGGAGGGAGAGACGTGCGCTAAAGAATACAACTCCGATATCGAATCGAAACTTTCCAAGCTTGTCATCGCGTTGTCGCAAAGCAGAGAATATGGCATCAAGATTGGAGTATCGGTCGCTGGCCGATGAGGAGGACCGCGAAAGAGCTTCAGACGAAGACTCAGCTCTGCTCGGCGGGGAATTCGAAGACGGTCCCCAAGTGCCCTTTTCGTGGATCGAATATGGCATCTTTTGCTTCCTCGGCATGGCCATGCTCTGGGCCTGGTAAGATTCAACAATATCACTGCTCTTCCAATTCATTATCAAAGCTAATGCGATCAACTTGACAGGAACATGTTCCTCGCCGCAGCCCCATACTTCGCCTCCCGCTTCGTCGGCGACGCCTGGATCGAGGCAAACTTCCAGTCCACCATCCTCGCCGTCTCGACCCTCACCACCCTCGCCGTCGTGCTCATCCTCTCCAACATCCAGTCCTCCGCCTCGTACCCCTTCCGAATCAACCTCGCCCTCGTCATCAACAGCGTCATCTTCGGCCTGCTCACAATCTCCACGGCCGTCTTCCTCGATGCCTCGCCTCGCCAATACCTGAGCTTCGTGCTCGTCATGGTGGCCTTGACGGCCTGGGCGGCCGGGTTGATGCAAAACGGCGCGTTTGCCTTTGCTGCTGGCTTTGGACGGCCAGAGTACATGCAGGCCCTCATGGTGGGCCAGGGCGTGGCCGGTGTTTTGCCCTCCATCGCGCAAGTTGTTTCTGTGCTGGTTTTCCCTCCCAGCAAGGAAAAGGCAAACACATCTGGCGAGAGACAAGGCGAATCGTCTGCATTCTTCTACTTCCTCGCCGCTGTCGTCATTTCCATAATCACCCTCGGGGCCATCATCCCCCTCGTCAGACGCCACAACCGCATGGTAGCAGACCGTCTCTCAGAGCGCCTCGCCTCCTCCATGACCAGCATCGAAGAAGCCGAGCGCGCCACCCGAAAAGTTGTCTCCCTCCTCCACCTCCTAAAGAAACTACACTGGCTCGCCTTTGGCGTAGCGCTCATCTTCACGATAACAATGTTCTTCCCCGTCTTCACGGTCAAGATCCTCTCCGTGAACGAGGACGGCGGCCGCCTCATCTTCCAGCCCTTCGCCTTCATCCCCGTGGGCTTTCTCTTCTGGAATCTTGGCGATCTCGCGGGCCGAATCGCCACGATGCTGCCTTACTCACTGACCAAGAGGCCGTTTCTGCTCTTCGTGCTGGCTGTGGCGCGAGCCGGCTTTCTTCCGCTCTACCTGCTCTGCAACATACATGGCCGGGGCGCCATCATCCCCAGCGATTTCTTCTATCTTGTCATTGTCCAGGTTCTCTTTGGCATGACCAATGGATGGCTCTGCTCCAACATGATGATGGCGTCAGGAGAGTGGGTTGAAGAGAACGAGCGGGAGGCTACCGGTGGATTCATGGGCTTGTGCTTGGTCGCTGGCCTTGCTTCTGGAAGCTTGCTGAGCTTCACAGCGTCTGGGATTTAACATGCATGTTCATTTGGTTGATTAAATATTAGAAAGGCGTTCTTTTTGACTTATCAATTCATCATAGTGGTATATGCTTGACATAGTTTATAGATATCTTTGGCATTTATTCGACAACACAATAGGCCATCTAAACTCATTTGAAGTGAAGCTAATAAAACAATTCTGTAGTATGTACGATAATAAATAAAGATGATACTCAGCAAATTCAATTTCTCAGTTTCAATTGCCGCCGCCGTCCTGTATTCCTCGCGATGCTGCTCTTAAAACCCTTTTCCCATATTCCATCCTGTCTTGTTTCCCTTTAATGCGTCTTCGTTGCCACGCATACCTAGTCTCCAACGCCATTGTAAATGCTTCAATACCAGATTCTGAACTGAAAGAAGAAAGTTGTAGAGGAAAAGAAATCGAAAATCCATTCGCCCAAGCAAAGACCAAATTATGACACCCGCCCCCCCAATGTGTACAAGGTCCTTCAAGGACTGCACCTCAAGGGGTTGTTGTAAATAGAATCAGATGGTGCGCCTTCTGTAACTCTTGTAAAAGGCTCCAGGCCTTTGCGCAGAGCTGTAAGATTCGTCTCGTGCCGATATGTTGTTGTTTTCGTAACCGTAGGCGAAGAAAGGCCACTGTTTTGACGATAGGAGCTCTTTTTAGGCTTATTCGTATCTTCTTCCATGAGGATAATGACTGGCTCACCCGTTCGAGGCTTGCCAGACCACTCCAGCGAGCACAGTGATGGTGGATGGTAGTATGTGTCGCCGCATACAACCCAGTCGGCAGTATAGAAGCCACCGTCGATGAGATCCTTCTCAGTTCCACGCCAATGAACGGACTTTTTCTCAGGATCTTTCCAATCGAAATCACCAAAACGAAGTTTGATTTCCCCATCGCCGCTGGGAGGAATCAGTGCAAAGCACGTACAGTCACGCAGCGTCATGGCGATAATAAAGTCCAGATTGGGTTTCGGTTTTAGGGGTCCTGCATCATCAAGACTCCTCTGGCAGTTTCTCAGTGCTTGAATCGCTTTGTGATGAATGATTTTATCGAGAGCCGCCTGGATACGCTCGTTATTGTGTAGACCGGAAAGTTGCGGAGCTATTCGAAATGGAGATGCGACCTGCTGGGGGCAATCGGGATTTGCAAGTGTAATCGGACAGGGCTTCTTTTCCGGGCATGGAGCCTTTGTGCCGGGGGCCTTCAAATAGTTGCGAAGTTCCAATGCGCACTGCCTGCATCTGATGGCATTTTTGGGAGCACTAGGCGACTGTAGCAGCCACTTGGGTTTGAATTCGATGAGTATAGAGTCATCGGCGCCTTCAGAGAGTGTTAGTCGGTATGCAGCTGGCAGAGTTTGGGGAGGCACCACATATGATACGTGGGCATGTAGCTACTCACCACTTGGTCGCATGTCCTCCACAAGAAATCCCCAGGAGGCGCGGCCAATGTACGATCCCTGAAATTTGGTCTTACGCAGGTGGTTGGATTTCCGAAGCATGTCGTTGAGCTCATTCACAATGCTGGACTTATGCAGCACTACCAGCTCCTGGCGCACGGCATGGTCGCCAAGATGCGGTTGGATCTCTCGAATGAAGAATTCCTGTTGGCGCAGATAATAGTTGGACGACACAGGAGTGCGACTAAGGGCCTGTGCTTTGGCCACTCTGAGAAGTTTGCCTATAGGAGCAGAGTATCGGTTAGCCACTGGGTCTGTGTAACCACAACTTAGCGTCGAGGAACGCTTGAGAAGATTTGCTACAAGCCTTGATTTGCGTATCCCTTGCCGCTTTGGAAGAAAAATAGAAGAAGAAAAGAAAGAGGCTAATGTACCTTGAAAGTGGGCGTCCATGCCGCTATTGGGGGGCAGTTTGATCTCAAAGACAACATTGGCGGCTCCTTCACCGACCAGCCTTACGGGCTTCGTGCCCGGTGGCAATTCCTGTGGCAGGTAGCTGACTACAGGGTCGCACACGCTGTCGCTGCTACTGTTGCTCATATCTAATTGAGCCGCGTCGCGGGCGTGATCGCGGGCGCTCGCGTCTTGGGATCTGGCTCGCATTCGGTCACCGGCGTCACCGCCACGGTCGCAATCGCACTTGTGGTTGCGGCTGCGGAATAAGCTCATGGCCCGCAGCCGGGCCATGTCGTCGGAGCTGATTGCCGGGGCAGCCTCATCGTCGGATTCCTCCGCAAGAGAGTCAGCGTTGGAGGGAGAGTCGCGGCCAGCATCGGAGTGAGAGTCTTCGTCGAAGCAGTCGCCGGGAACGGAGGAGCCGTAGTTGGAGGCCGAATCGTCGAGATACTGGGGTGGCAGCTGCAAGAAAGAAGCCGGGTCCATGATTGGAACAAGTCGTGGGCCCGTCCTGCAGGCCTGCTGCAAGGGCTGCAAGGCACTGAGTCGGAGGGTGTGGGATGGCGCGCTTCGGGCGGTTTCAGGGAGCACAAAGGCTGGACGGACAGCGAGAGGCTGTAGACTGGGCGGCGTCTTCGTGGAGAGATGCTGAGGATGATAGACAGGTACTAGGTATTCGGTACTCCGCAGCTAGTAAGATGATTGACGGCGAAGCAAAGGAGGCGATATTGCCGTCGCTTTTGTTGTGGCTCGTGCTTCGTATAAAGGGACCACTCTACTCGATTCCAAGGTCAAATGTTGAATTAAACGTAAGTGGAGAATCAGAGCGGCGGCGGCGTCATTCTTGCGTGGGAGCAGATCCGCATCTAATTCCAATCTCTGTTCTGCTCGTGGGAGGAAATAAGTCGACGATCGGCACGAGGAGATGTTGAAATAATCAGGACGGGGTTGGCAGACGAGAAAGGGGGAGGAGGGAAGCGGATGGCAGATCGCCTAAAGTTTAAAAAAGGGATCGAGGAGGTTAAGGCCACCCGCCGCCATCGCAGCTTATACCTAGCCTAGCAGATGGCCGCCATTGACTCTGATCATATATTACACCGCTATGCTCTTTTGGCACTCCGCCACGCACATGGAGAGATTGTAAGAGGAAGCAGTGGACGCCGGTGGCATGTGTATCTGTGGCAGGCATACGGTGGCGAGGCCAGACTGTGATCTGAGCTCGATATCTGACTACCGTGATCGGGAGACTACCAGCGGCATCTGCCCTGTTATCGGAGACGCCCCTGCGATGTGCGGCTGCGAGCACATAACTAGATGCAGCATTGCCGCGACTACAACTCTCTTCTTATTACTACTTTGTCCGGGCAGCAGTGGCAATGAATATCTCCCCTCTTGGCCGGCGTCAGAAGGAGTCTGCGCTGAGCGAGCGGGCGGCTGAGGTCGTATCCATTGACGTGCATCTCTCAAGGCTCCGCAGCGCACGCTCTACTCTTTCAGGGCTACGGCGGAACCAGGAGCATGGTGATGGATGCAGCGACTATTGCTCTCCATCCGCGCTGCTGCCAATCATGGTCCAAAGGTGCTTCAGCTTACACACCCAAGGCCTGCAGGGCTGAATTGCTCTGCAGCGGCAGAGGCTTACTGGGCGCTGGACTCCCGCCCGTCGACTATCCTCATGAACTCGCGGCACGAACTGCTGCCGTGCTTCGTGGAGCTGAATGGCGGGCAGCAGCTGGAATCTCGCGGCTGGCGAATTGGATCGCAGATGCTCCCTCTTTGCCGATGTCACGATACTTGAGATGGTGGGCTGATGCGACCACGCACCGCACGCGCAGTAGCGGCTGGGAGGATCGCAGCTGGAGCACGTCCGTACTTGTACCCAGTTGGTATGCACTATCAGCGATCAAGGTGCGCCTGACCGCGTACATGTATGCATGTATGACCCGAATGCGGTACGTCACGGGACACAGCTGCAGCCTCGAGATAATTTTCGGGGTGATTTTGAATCCCCATTTGCGATAGCGGTCGCACCTACACACGTACTCACATCCATTGAGCGCACATAGGTAACACTCGATGGTGCAATGCATCAAACGTACTCTGTGGTCACTAAAAAGCAAGCAATTTGTTGGAGAAGCAGCATGTAAAGCTTTACAGCGCTGGTCGAGCCTCAGCATGCGGCGCATTGTATCTTCACAGGCCACCGGCAGCCTACCTCATGAACACAATCAACAGGAAAACGAAAATTATAGCTATTGATGAGGTTTGTGGCAAATACTCCGATTTCCAGTGCCACGGAGCTCAAAGTCGAATTTTTTATTTGATAGAGAGCGTGCGTCATGATAGAGACAACTCAGCAACCTCTCCACGACATGAAGTTTATGAAAGTGGTAGACTCTGGGCACGGGCAGGATCAACATCCTCAAATGGACCACCCTTTTGCCCCGGATTTACGGTCCCTGTGATGTCATCAAGGGACCCAACCATATCCAGCCAAAGATCCCTTGGATTGCACCCCCGCAAGAAGAATCACGTCGATATGCAGGACACAGTCCGCATAGAGCCCCCCCCCCCCTGGAGACTGGAGTGACTGGCCAGCAACTCTCTAGGCCGTAGTCGGACGCGCACCAAGATTACCAAGATTGTCTGACGATTTCCCATTTGCCTGCATTGCCGAAGCTACACTGCGCAAGCCATTGCCCTGTTTGGAACCTTCTACTCGTGCTTCCCTTTCTCCTCCCCTCCGCAATGCGAACTGTGCGGAATACGGGAACACCGGTGATTGCGCATAATTTCGTTCCGAAAAATGCCCTGCGCACCACCGCAGATGTCTACAGACCAATATCCTACTTCTTCCGGCTGGTATCGTGTTAATGCCGAGTTTGGTTCGGCTAGCCGACATTAAGCATCTGTGCTAATTTTAGCTTGTTTCGGCTCTTCATGCAGGCAGCTTGCGAAACTCAAAGAAACGCGTCTTCAATGGTAGCATCGGATTGAATCTGTAACTACCTAGGGATGAAGAAGAGAAACATTGAAGGTTTTCTGCCAGCTCCTCGCATAATTATATGCACCTTGCATGTACTTCATAGTTCCAGGGAGATGTTTTGCCACCCAATTCAGATGATCGCTTCCCCAATGCGCCGTAGTCTACCTGATACAGAGAGGTTGGAGGCTTGTTGTAGATGCAGATCGTGGAGCATCCCTCTTCATCTACGTCTTAGATACCACTGCGCACTGTACGCGAGGGAAGAAACGTTCAAGTTGGCAATATACACTTCCAGTCGGGCAACCGATCGATAGGCTTGGTTGTCAGCTGATGAATATTGATAGAATCGCGACGCGACACATCAGGAGACACACCGGCCACAGTGGTCCAATTCGGCTAACGCTGCCGCTGGTTCGTTCGTCCTGGGGGACTGCATACACTTAGCCCTGCATATCAATAAGCAAGTCGCTGCTTATTGCATCGACAGAGCGCTGGATTTGTGATGCTGGCCATGGCAGAGAAGAGCGTCTACACGCCAAAGTGGGCAGATGCAAGCTCCAGCTCACGACATGTTCAATGAACAGCATGGATGAGGTGTTGCACACAGTGCCATCTGCACGGCATTCGTTCATCGTGCACTTAAACCGCACAGCCATTAGCGGATTTGCGGCCAAGCCCGCCTGAAATGCCCCCGCTGCTGGACGGCCTAGCGGGTTGTTTCAGCGGCCTGGAGCGCCTACCGCACATCCGTGCGTCCGCGCGATACCGAGCTCCAGGCCTAGCTGGTGAAAAATTTCTGGCGCCCACTTTGCTTCGCTAAAGAGAACCGCAGACCTCAGCTCCTCCAACTCTTAATAGCGTCATCTTCCATTACCTTGCTCCTACCACCTCCTACACCACCTTGGCTTGGGATCTTCCCTCTCGATTCTCTCTTTGCTGCGGCCTATTCTATCGGAGCTTTCCAGCAGCTATACTCCCTCGCTTCTCTTATCGCTTCGTCGCTTCGTCGCTCTCGCATCGCTTTCGAAAATCCATCTCAAAAAATTTCAGCTAATCCCTGCTTCCTGCAAGCCCTCCGCACAACGAATTGAATCCCCCACCCACGGAAGGCTGCCTCTCGCGGCCCTCGACGGCCATCGCCTGGAATCCCATGGTCCCGAGATTATAACTGCCATTTCAACATGGCTTTCAACTTCAACTGGTCGCCTTTAACGGCGGACGCTGAGTTCTACTCGCGCGCACGCGACCTGCTCACAAAGGCCCTAAACAAATCGCCCAAGCCGCCCATTATTGTCGATGACATCCTCGTCAGCGAATTCAATCTCGGCACCGTCCCACCAGACCTCGAAATCCTGGAAATCGGAGACCTGGCAGAAGATCGATTTCGAGGCATTTTCAAAATGTGCTATTCCGGAGACGCCTACTTGACGCTGAAGACGCGGGTTCAGGTACGTTTTTTTCGCAGCCTCTGGTCTATCCCCGTTATTTTTTTTTTTACCCATGGAGCTTCCTCGCGCCACGCCAAAAGCTACCCGACAATGCCCGAAACTTTCCTTGACTCGCGCCACCACAACAAAGCGCATCTGAATCGCACCGCGTATTTGGATGTTTTGTTGTGAAGAAGGCAGTCAATTCATCAGGGAAGTGGCAATGGGCTGGATAAGTGTCTGGCCAGCTGTGCAGCAAGCTTGGGAATATGCCGCTACCGGGATGTGATGCACCATTGCCGGCACTGCCGTCGATCACTTAGCTCTTTGCGTATTACACGCAAAAAAGCACTGCGGCACGCCCTGTCATAGGGAGCTTCATACCGCTTCGGATTGCTATTTGCTTCCCTGCATGAATTGCTGTATTCACGAGCAACCTTGATCTTGATCAATCTTTCTTAACCATTCATTTATTTCGTGCGTGTGCGGGGGCGAAACGGCATCGCATGGGACGGACCAATAGCTGGCTAACACGACGATGCGCAGGCCAATCCCCTCAACACCTATCTCTCCTCCAAGCCGGAGTTTACCTCCCCGCAGCCACTGGCCGCAGCCTCGGGCCTCACGATCCCCCTCTCCATTACTCTGTCCGAAATCAAGCTGTCGGCGTTTATCATCCTGGTCTTCTCGAAACAAAAAGGATTAACCCTGGTGTTTCGCAATGACCCACTCGAGTCTCTCAAGGTCTCTTCGACCTTTGATTCGATCCAGTTCGTGCGGGACTACCTGCAACGGACCATTGAGCAGCAGCTGCGGAACCTGATGATGGATGAGCTGCCAGCCATCATTCATCGACTGTCTCTGCAATTGTGGTGTCCGGATCAGGCCAATAAGGGCGTGGAAACCCCCAAAGAGGAGACGGACGAGGAGGGGGTCAATCCGCTTTCAAGCCCACCTTTGGACCCTGTCGATGCCAATGGCAACGTGCTGGACCCAAGTGCCATTTCAGAAATCTCTCTGAATGGCGGGGGCGAGACACAGTCTCTATTTTCCCAGAAGAATCTGCTACGCCTCGCCGCGCTGACAGATTCGCACCGGACCTTGTCTCTATTCACACCTGGCATACGAGACGTTGTATTTCGAGCTTGGTCAGGCTGCGCCGACCGTGCTGATCCTGCTACGCCATCTATTTCATCACCTAACCGAGTCCGGACGAATTCACATGCTGGCGGCACGAGTACCACCTACACGTTCTCCGATACGGCAAGTACCCTACAGGGCTCTGTATCGTCACGGCCTTCTTTTGCAAGCGCCAATTCGTCTACGGGCTTAGGTGTCGGCAGCAATGTCCGATCAAGGACGGGCCGCAAAAAGAAGAACCGAGTGGTCAATCTCCGGAAGACCAAATCTGAGGCGGTCACTCCAGACAGCCAGTCCGAAGCCGGAGCCAATACACCCAATTCCGTCAATATTCCTCTCTCGGAGCCCATCATGGATATACCAGAAGAGGAGGAGCTACAGCTAAATGATGATCCATTTACCAGCGACCCCTTCAACCCCCAGACGCTCATGTCCGATATTGGCGACAACACGCTCACTCTAGAAGAACTCACCTCCGCCCTGAAAGATCTGAAGATGCTGGCCGACGCTACGGCCAACAGCCGTAAGGCGACCCCCGAGAAAGGTAGCCCTCGTGAGACACCGAGTGCCAAAGGACAGTCATCGCCTGATCCCCTGGACCAGGACTGGGTCATGAAGATGGCGAGCGAAATCGCACGCCGTGTCTATGACGAAAAGCGGTCTCAGCAACGGGGCAAATGGGATGAGTCGGAGGAGGCCCCACCTCCGGCATACGAGGCATCGCCGTAGTCGCCGTGCCATTAGACTACAGTTTTGAACCGAGCTGAGAGCATGACAATTTCTTATGTTCTATTACAAGCGTTCTTTCAACTGTCTCCATTTTACGGGGAAAGAAGAAATCTTTCCTTTGTTGTTCTATTCTCTTTTTTTTTTCAGCATTGTGCTGATTTCACTAAAGTATGAGCATTGTATACGCATTTGCATATGTATATGCACGTACACACATCACACAATTGGGTATGTTTTACCTCGGCGTTATATGGATGGAGGGGCAATAGGGAATGCATGGCACGCATCACAAGTAACGTACACACGGGACAAAGAGGGCAGGCAGGGAAAATCAAAAACCAAAAGCAGAAAGCAAGAACAAGGCAAAAAAATTGGCTAGGATCAAATACCGGGTGGTGTTTTTAGGGACGGGTGGTGTTCTTTTTTTGGTTGCATGATTTGATACCCGGATAAGCACTTTTTAAACAAGACGATTCAGTCCAGTACGAAAGTGTTTTATTTCCATGATTTTGACGGTCTGCCTTTGCCTTTTTTTATGGAGCCGTCTGCAAAGCAGACGTGTACGACGACGATGGGATGCGTGCCTCTTTTCATAATTTCTTTTCTTTTCTTGTCTTTCTTCTACTTCTATTCGCTTCGTTGGCCAGCCGCGCCAACCACACCCACCCTATTATGGCTGCCACCCCGGGCGTGTGTTGTATGAATACGTCAGAATATGGCATCTCCAGCCCGGGACTTTATTGGCATTGTGGGGCGTGGTGCCCTTTCGTGGCCTCGACGGTGTTTATTTGCGCGCCGTTGGAAGGGTTTATGCCAGCTCTACAGCGATGCTCTTGATTTGCTTTTACATATTCTTTTTTGTTTGAGCGTTGAGCGTTCGCCAAGGCATTGTATTACTAGACGTGTTCCCTATGTCTCTTTTTTCCTTTTCCTTTTTCCTTTGGGTATTTGGGCACGAGGGTTACGTGCCTGTGTAATTGTACGGAAAACAACTAAAAGACTGTACGTGTACTATTAATAATTGGGAGGAGTTTTGGGACCTGGATCGAGGATCGAATTATATCAAGACAGACACAACTCCAATACAAATGAAGCTTTGAAGCGTAAGTAATGTTGACTCTTTTCTCTCTCTTTTCGCCACGCACAAGTAAGTCGATAATGATGCTTGTATCAGCCTTTCACCGCAATTCTACGCATAGAAAGTGCACATTCACACATGTAAGGGAGAGAGAATATCGATATTTTAGGTCCACATGACCAGATTTGGTGCTAAGGAGGGGTAGATTTTGTTTAGCTATGGCAAATACTTATATCTCTCATATATAAGTGGTAGGTCAGGTAGCACCTAGTGGGCAATACCCTAAGTTTTATGCAGCTACTGCTACCACAGAGCAAAGCAGTGGGGAAGCATGTGTCATCATCATCCAACCCTCCGATGCTGTTCTTCTTCTTTCTCAATCAGACACAGACACAGACACACCTTTATGCCAATGTAGCTAGTGAGTGATAGCAAGCACTGATGGGTGTCTCGATTCCACTGCCTTGCCCCTTCTTCCGTACCCCTCTTCTCCAATTCATTGTAGCACAGACTCAGATGATCAAGGGGTTTGAAGAGATCCATAGACTCCCACCTCTCATAAACCCCAAGATTGGCTGAGCGCTCAAAACGACAGTCAATGGTCGTCCAGAAGTGTTTGGTGGTGTCCAATGCTCTGCCAAATAAAGCAGGGATCAGACTGACAACAGCGTCTGGGCCATGGGCTCTTAGCTCAGTCGCCCCTCTCTCAGATTCATGCAGCCATTTGCTGCGGCCTGCGGCATAAGTTTGCTGGCCGCCAAGATCTGTGTTATTTTATAAATAAACAAAATAGATCGTAGTCGTAAAAAAGTGGCCCGGCGATGTGTTGGCAGCCGCTGAACCAACGAAACCAAGCCTGGAGACAAGCTGAAAAACTATGCCTCTGACGACAACATCCTGCTTGAAACACCGACAGATCACGCCGTCAATCTTCCGTGCAGAGGAAAGGAGCGGGGTTCTGGACCAGAGCTGCATAATGCATTGTGCTCTCTTCTTCTTTGCTCTTCCATGGACGTGCTCTTCGGCTTCGGTCGGAGGGTAGGAATCAGGAAAGCCGGCGAGTACGTCTCTTGCGTGAGCTTTTCGGCGGTGGCGGTGATTCTGATGTTCCTCCTCTCTAAGAAGGCTTCACCGCGGCCGCGTTCTCTGCCTTGAGCTTGGCCAGCTGCTCTTCCTTCTTCTTCAGCTCGGCCAGAAGCTGCTTAGCCATTTGGTCTGTCTTGAGCTGCGCGTCCGAAAGCTTCTTGACCTCGGCGGCCTCCGTCTCCCGACTGAACGGCTGGCCGGGCCGGTTTGCGCTGGGTATCATGGCCGTCCGCTCCCAAACATCGCCGCTGTCCGGCGCCGGGAGTGGAGGCGGTGCGCGGTTCTTTCCCTTGCCCTTGCCTCCTTTGCCTCCTGCGGCCGGTTTCCATCCCTTGGGCACGGCGCCAGTCGTCAAGATCTGGTAAAATGCCTCGTATGGCTCGTTGAACAATTGCTCTTCGTAGCTCCAGGCCCGGACCTCGCCATTCGCTGCCACCATGGCCTGCTTTTCCTCTTCGGTTCTACCGTACGGATGGAGGCGCAGATAGTGGTACAGAGTCTGAGGCTTCTCTCCGGAGTCGTTGATATAGTATAGCTTCACTGTGATGTCAAATTCTCCCCATCCCGTCTCATTGACGACGAATGGCTTGCCAGGCTCTCCCTCCACCACTGTCAAACGGTTAGTGCAAACTGTTGTGCAGAAATAAAGAAGAAGCGGCGTAAAAGCTTACTTCGAACGTAATTCGGAATAGACTCGTGCAACTTAAACTGGACGCGCCGCAACCAATACGTGATATCCGTGTCCTCCATGCCCCGTACAAAAACCTGCCATGAGTGCGTGTGGTTGTCAGGCGTTCCCGGCGGTCGTGGATTGGAGTCTGAGAAAGGAAGCGCCGTGCTGCCAATGACAAACGGCCGTCGGATTTGCGTCAACTTGACACGCTTTCCGAATTGGTTCGACGGCGCCATCTTGTTGGCTTTGCACTTTGCAGCGTTCAAACGCGGTTGTCAGTGCAATCAAGCCTTGCGCGTCGATGGTGGGGAAAAAAAGTGAAAGAGTGAAAGCTGGGAGACGCACTTTGTCGTTTGCAGCCTTGCAGATATGTCATTGGGGCCCACTGCTGCTGCAGCCAATTAAACCCGCGTATTGCCGAGCTTCAGCGGTAGAGTTCCTCAGCCTTATGGGTGCTAAGCTCTGAGCTATGTGATGATTTCATCGATTTGGGTATGGCCTGATCTCATCAGAGAAATTTCGATCTGCCATATCTCGCTCAAAGACATCGATCGGACAAGCTTCGATAAGATTCGTCTATCAAATCAATTATCTATTCCCATACTCAATCTACCATTACCATTTCATAGAAGACCGACACAGCTCATTCACTCAAGCTAACGGAAGTCATGTCAGCTGCGGCCAAGAAGCTTATAGTCTGCGGAGGCAATGGCTTCTTAGGGTCCCGGATCTGCAAATATGCCGTGGCTAGAGGTTGGGACGTTACATCAGTCAGGTAAGCGATCTACGCATTATACCTCATCTCGTTATCTGCAGCATACCTGAAGACACCCCATTTTGAATGAGAATACAATCGCTCACATAAAGTTGTCGTTTTGGGGAAAAGCCGCTCAGGTGAGCCACGATGGGAAAATGTCACATCCACCGCAACTCCTCCACCATGGGCTCACAAGGTCTCATGGGAGCGAGCCAACATCCTTGAGCCTTCAACTTATGCGCCCTTGCTCAAGGGTTCCGACTACGTCGTTCACAGCATGGGTATTCTGTTAGAAGCTGACTACAAGGGCGTCGTCTCCGGTCGAGAATCTCCCATTGCAGGACTTCAAAAAGCATTTGCTTCAGTGCGAGATCGAGGCGTTGACCCCATCCACAGCCAGCCCGGAGAGAGCATCAAGCCCTCCAATACCAAGGATCAACTATCGTATGAAGTCATGAACAGAGACAGCGCAATCGCACTTGCGAAACATGCCGCTGCCGAGAACACCGGCGCTTTCTGTTTCATCTCTGCTGCAGCTGGAGCGCCGGTCCTTCCTCATCGATACATTTCTACCAAAAGAGAGGCCGAAGCTGCTATAACAAGCAACTTTCCTCAAATGCGTGGCATCTACATGCGGCCGCCGTTCATGTATGATAGCTCACGCAAGATGACCATGGGCCTCGCTGCGGCAGCTGGTGCCGCATCCTTCTTCAACAGCCTGACAGGCAACGTCTTGAAGAACTTCATGGGGGCAGCAGGGACAAAACCTCTTCAAGTTGATACAGTAGCAGAGGCTGTGGTCGAGGCGCTCGCGGATGAGACAATCAAGGGTCCCGTGGAGCTTGAGCGGATTGAAGAACTCGCGTCCAAGGGGTGGAGGAAGACGATGCTATGAATCAAAACTCATGTATGATTAAAAGTACAACGCTGTATCTCTATGTGTGCAAGTTAATTTCCAAAACAAACAAACGCTCCTCATATATCCCAAAGACCTTGCCCGTTTCCCTCTTGAAAGCAACTGATTATTATCTTATATCATTGTTCCACGCTCAAAGCTGTCCCTGATTTCAGCAGTATATTTGTTGTAGAAACGCGATAGTTTCTGGTTGAATTGCTTATTCTTCTCGTTGATGTACGTGACATCTCCATCCTCGCCGTTCTGTGCCATCCGCTCCTTTCTCTTCTTGAGGCGGACATCTTCTGCGCGTTGAAGATCCTTGACTAGGCGATCAATAGCCTCCTTGTCGGGTTTATTTTGAGTAAATGATGTCGAGTCCGCTGTTGAGTAGAATGAACCATCTTTATCCACAGCAATGAGCTCGCCGTCCTCTGTCTCGACGATATCTAGACCGCCAGAAGCCGCAGCTTTTTCGATGGCGGCCATCTTCTGTTTTTCGTATCTCTCGAGATCAGGATTGATATTGCGCAGCTGCCTCTTGTATGACTTGTTGGCTTCGTGGTGATAGTCTGAGAAGGCGTTGTTATCGCGATGCGCCGCCTTCTTCTTCATGCGCTTATCCCACTTTTCGCTCTCGTCCACGGTCCAATCCCAGGCCCGCTTGCGCTCGAAATCCTCTCCAGCCTCCTCGGTGTCCGCCTTTAGTAGTTTATGGGATGCGATTGCGTGTCTCCGATGCAGAGCCGTGAGCTCGCTGGGATTCGTGGAGAGACGTTGTGATTCCAGGCTTGCTTCTTTGAAGTTTGTTTCTGAAGATTTCTTGGCGCGAGCTTGGAGAGCTTTGAACCTAGCCATGCGGTCGCTGGCTTTGGCTGCAGTATCAACCTTGGGTTCTTCGGGTGAAGCATCAACCCTTGGTTCTTCAGGTGCAGCATCGGCTTTGGATTCTTCGGGTACAGCATCAACCTTGGGTTCTTCGGATGCCGCATCGGGCTTGGGTTCTTTGGATGCCATTGTTGCGCTATTCGGTAGTTTGGTGGCCGTGAAATCGTAGAAGTCGATTGCTTGATGCCCGTAAAATCGTATGTAATCTATCGCTGACTTGGAGGAGGTAGCAGGTTTATATGAAAGTTATTGCAAAAGCAGTAGATCAAGGTTTAACGGCTATAGTTCGATGCTTGCACGTGACTAAGGCCGTGTGAGCCTAGTGCTAGTCGAAACTCTTGTTCCAACAAGACGTCGGCGGTGATATGTCTTGAAGTAGAACGGTTTTATTCAAGGTCTTTGAAAAGGAAATCTCTGGCTTGACGGTCTTTGGTCTGGTTTGAATTTCAATTGTGAACGGAATACCCTGAGGGTTCGAAGGTCATAGTAAAAATGCTTCATACTTATACCATGGGCTACGCAATTCTCTTATACTCGCACTGTATGACTTAAATGCGTACTTCAATAGACTGAATTTATGTTTCAAAGCTACGGCATGTATTCTATGTGTAATTCATAAGGAATTGTTGTTTTATTAGTATATCATAGATGTTTCTCAGTATATATTAAATCTTTTAATCTCTTCATTGAGTTTTGTCCTCAAATTTTATTGACAAAGTTCGAAGATTCTGCCAGGTTATCTACTAGCAACAGTAACTCACCGCCTTTCGAATTAAGCAATTATTGTTGTAGGTGGAAGCAACAGAAACATTTAGAAACGACAGAAGTGGTAGTAGGGAAAGCATGTAACTGACTCCATAGTAGAGATTGCGTGATCAAGTCGCAAAGTCGAGTTTGTGAGGTCCAATCCTGTTCTTGTGGTAACCTAGGTATGTTATTATGCATTTCTTACCATGAAAAAGCGTATTGAACGAATGGGGGTATCTCAACAAATAGCTGCCTAGTCGCTCTATAGTCGATATTTACGAGAGATTTCAAACAGTAAAAATATGTACTGATATTTATAACAGCTCGTCCTTGCCCATTTGCTCTTCACATGCCGCCATAATATGTGATCAGAAGCTATGGTAGACAAAATTCAGATATTATATTCTACGTACGCTACGTGTTCTCTGAATGTCTCTAACGCTTTCTAGCTGCATTGATCCTAAATACTCAGAATGTTATATGAAATGCAATGGAAGTCTGTGTCGGGTGCCACAGCCTTTAGAAGCAGAAAATACAACGAAGGGGTCGTACGCTAAGTTAGTGGAAGATCCAGCGAGGGTCCACTGAACATTAGCGGAATCTGGGGTAAAATCGGTACCTCGGAGACGCTGTAATTAGGCTTGCGTGAGCAGTGCACATGTGTACCGTTCCACGGCACGCGATGCAACCATATTTTGCTCACATTGCAAATTGCTCAGAGAGGCAGAAAACAAGCTGCAAAGGCTGAGTCCAGGCGTATGGAGCAGCCACACCCACTAAGACTTCACTCAAGATGATAAGCTCAAGATCGCCCTGGGGGCTCCGGCTTGCAAGCTCGTCTCATCGCTTTGCTGCGCACAACCAGAGACGGTCCAAGACTTTCGTGCGGAGAATCGATAAGAACAACGAGGTCTATTACACCATACGCAACAAGCGGCCACCAAAGTCTCCAGACTCGATTCCTGTGCGAGATGACTTCTTTGAGATGCCGGATCTGCTGCTGGATCTCGATGCCGAGGACAGCCGATTTGTTCGCCCGGTAGACGAGTCTGATGACCTCCGCTTGGAGAGGAAATGGGACGTTAATCCAAAACGACTCGCCGTTCAGGACCAGTTGAAAGAGCTGCAAGCTCAAATCGCAGAGTCACGGCGCAAGGCTGACGATATTCTGTCGAACCCAGGCAATATCTGGAGGCTCAGCCCACACGACATTCTGTCAGCTGCTCTTCGCGGCACCCCCGCCGTTGTCGATGAGGTTCGCTCACCTACGATGACTCCTGAACCGTCCCGTAGTCTGAAGGAACTCGCCTCGGGGCAGGATTCTAAACTGATTGAGACCCTTTGCCGAGAAAACGGAATCCCCTCACATGCACTACAAGATGATCGGGTGCTTATGGAGTGGATGTGGTTACGATATAAAAATCTCCAGCGCTCCATGGAGAATCGAAGCGAAGAACCATTATCACCCGCTCAACTATCAGATGCTTTGAAAGACCAGACATCCATCCTTGGTATTCGTCGTCTTGTGTTTCATTGTCTAAAATCCACTGAGGTAGCCAAGACCTATTTTCTTAGACAAAAGGGGGCCAACAATGGACCGAATGTCTCAAATGAGATACGCAACGCCTGTTTAAGAGTTCTGGCTCAGCATCCAGAGAAAGGGGCTACGCATTTGGAAATTCTGGGTTTTCTCGGAAATCTGGCCGCAAGACTATATGGCCATCATGGGCCTGCGTTGACTGGACTAGCTTTGCGACTTTCAGCTGAAGCAGGAGTTGTGGGAGCGATATCTGAATGGCTACGTCGTGGGTTTGCCGATCATACGTGGGAGCGATATCGTGCGTCGTCAGACGATGTAGTAGAATCACTCAAAACATTCACTCAGCAGTTGAGCAGTGGCCTATACGCCGTTCACGACCGACAGTTGCTATTCCAGCTGCTGACTGGGATTGAGCATGATTCCCTCTCGAACGATTCTTTTCGCGCTCTTCCTCTATCTTATCTTGGCGAGCAGAGCAAAGTCTCTACAGATGAGGCATATGGTATGTATGAATCATACATCATGCTTCTAGGTCACTTAGGAGCTGCGAGAACTCTCTGGAAGGAATGGTATGCTTCAAGGCCTATCGTGGAGCGCTTCTTAAAACCAGATGGCAGCGCCCAAAGACTTGAATCTTTGTACAAAGCATCGTTACGCAGCGCTCTTGGCGTGGCGGTGCCCATGGACGCACAGGGCTTTCCCGACATGGAGTTGAATGAATGCGTGGCACTGGATTATCATTCAATAGGCGCACAAGATAGCGCTTCATGGTTTGCCAGCGGAGCGGAAACAACCAGGTCGGGCGAATCTAATGGCAATGCTTCTCCGGAATTGCCGTCTTTCAATCTACCTCTTGATGAGTGGACTGGGCGAATCGACCACATAATTCGCCAGTATCCTTTGCCTTCTCAGTGATCAGCCACAAACGTCACGTTCATATCACTGGACAGTAGATGATATATGCTACTCTTTGTTCATTGGAGCAATCTTATTATTCATATCCAGGCAGCGAACGAATACCTCCAAGAGAAAGAGACAAGCGACTACACAATACAGGTACATTGGATACGATAAAGCCAGAGTCCGTGAAACTTGGCTTGTTCCAGAAGCAAAGTTTAAATGTTGGAAACGCTGGAATGCGCAGAACTACTGCAACATAAAAATGACGACAACACCTCAACGAGATTGAGGCGCTCCGATCTCGCTCAGGGGGAAACAAACTCAAATATATTGCAAGAGAAAGGCAATGGGCGCCACCCCCTTGTCGCACACACCCATCTTTCACATCTAAGATGTCGTTTAAATATTTACCCAGATATGCTATCCGAGCAAGCTCGGCATCTGTTCATATCGGAAAGTTACTTGTCGGCACTTGTACATAAAATCTAGATAAAGTAGATTGTATAGCATGTGGTCAGGGATGATAATACAGTTTGGATTCGAAATGCGCACGTTTGTTCATCACTCTAGTCTTCTCTGGTTAATAGGAGAGGCTCGCGAGCCCCCGTGCTGGCAGTTACTATCCACTGCGGTGGGTATCACCGGCTTACAATCTCCCCATCGACTCAATGCTAGAAGAATTACTTTTTGGATCCGGATGCCTGGTTAGCAGGCAAATCTGTGCGAAGATAAAATTGTTTCTTGCGTGGCGTGACAAAAAGCCCTGAATCGTGAACCCTAATCTATTTTAAACTCGCTCAGGCACCGCATAGATAGGAGACGGCGCCGGCATGAAATCGATACCCGTGTGTGACAAGTAGCCACACATGGCATGTCCAACCAAAAAAAGACAGGGAATGCAATCTGGATCTGATGCTTGTTCAGGAGAAGCAAAAATTTATGCCGCGAAGCTTGTTATCAGGGAGCATTACTCGTGAGCAAGCACAGCACTCATTTACTAGCAAAAAACGGGTTTGGGCCAGCGTCCGGACCGATCCCGCGCAGATCCATACGGCGGGGATAATTTTCCCCAAACTAGACCCCTTTTGTTAAGATTAAACCACTTTTTTGCGTCCCTGTTGTCTGGAGATGCAGAAGCTCGTTTGCGTGGAGTCTAGGATAGGAGTTTGAGACGTTCGCAATAATTGAGCTGGATGAGGACAAGATGTTCTCTGGCTTTCTAGAATGAAGAGCAATGACCCAGCGCTGGGATGAGGCAGGGAGCTTAGGCTTTGATGGGAAACAGCTCCCGGGGATGGGAATCTGGTCGACTCCACACAATCAATTCTCGCCAAGGCAATAGATTTCAGTTAGCAGCTCGGCGAAGATGCTAGAGCAATGCTATAGGTACTAATTGCACGTACAAAGTACAAGTGCCAGGCCCCTTTCCGAGCCCAATTGAAGGGTATGGCATGCATGAAACCTACATATGTATGTATATAAGATCAGGCAGATGAGGGCAGGTTACGAGTAAGCAAGCTTTCCATTTGAAAGGCATCACTCAGTGTGAGACATGCATAGTACGGCAGCATGCGCATGACAGACTAACACGAATGCACGGACACGCTTCCGATGGCCTCAGCCCGCACGATTTTTGCATCAGCGTTGCTTCGAGGCCCAAAGTCAAGATGCGGGGTGGCATCTGGTTGAGGATCGAGTGGATCGACGGATAATGAGATGCTGCCACCGCTTCTTTCTTGTGCGTTTCATTTTGCCGTTTGAAGCAGTAGTGAGCCAGTGCTGCTGCTACTCTGCACCGGACGAGGCCAAGCTAACAATGGAGAGTTGGGACGCAATGCAGAACGTTGTTTTCGCCATCAATTGCGTGTGATGTGTTGATTGGCAGAAGCCCGCCTGGCATCCCTGTCAAAGGACCAGGCAGAGAGAGACAATTGGCGGTGTTGGAAAAGTTGGTACAAGTACTTACATAGACACATACAAAGATGCCATGACAATGCCTCCATACGGCCGTCAAGACGGAGCCGCGGACCCAGCTGGGAACTGCGGACAGTCTGGCGGTATGCCGGTAGAAACGGGCAGCTTCGCCTGTGCAGATTCTCCATAGCAAATGGCACTCAAGATGGAGTCGAGCCCGGCCAACAGGATCCCTGCCGACAGCAGCATTTGAGAATACGACGGGCTACTGCCAAGGGGGCTCGCTATCGTGTCCGGCTTCCAGTGGAATCTGCTGATACAGGGCCTGATGGAACGATTGGGAAACGGACGATGGAATTGGCCAAGATGGACCCTGATGGCGAGGGGTGTGAGGAGGGAAAAAAAAAGGAATTCTTGGATATGGCTAGTCCTCCACGCAAGAGTCTGCGGCTACACAAGGCAGATGAAATTGCCGAGTGGGATTATTTGCCATCAATCTTGCTAACTTTTTGTCGTCTCTCGTAATTTCTCATTTGAGGCAAGATCCAGTCAGCTGAACTTTGCTATTTTTGCAATATTTTTGCTTTTCTCTGCTGTGGGTGGGCCACAGTAGCGAAAGCCGCCCATGGCTTCTTGGCTCTTTTTTTGAGTCTCCCCGTTCCCGCGGGCCTGGAGTCTGGAGAACGAGTCGCTCCAGCTCGGCGCCGAATATGGCCAGAACCGAACAAGCCGCCCGCCGTGAGTGGATAGCGCCGGACAGCAGAGTAGCTAAACCAGGATCCAAGAGGGGGGCAACAGGACAGCAAAGAAAGAAGACAAGGCTTAAGACTGCTGCTCCTGTTCTTTGTGGAGAGCGGCGAGTTGGACTAAGTCGTGCAACACGATGGCTTCGATCCAGGAGTAAAACAGCACTTGGGGCCGTTTGGGCGTAGACCCAGGCACCGAAAAGTAAAAATGCTATCCAGGGCAGATGGCGCAAGAGTCAATTTCAAGTCTTACCAGCGCAACGGGATTCGGATGCCGTGGTCTGTCAGCCCTAACCGCGAGAATTTGCCTTTTTTTCGCTGTCTGACAGGCTGAGCGCCGAGCGGCATCAAAGCCAAGATTCGAACGCTGAGATGCGCCTTGGGCATGGCGGCATTGACGGGAGAGGGACAGAGCCCCGCGCCATGCAGCCTATATTAGCACCAATCGAATTTTATAGAGCTAGCAACTGGGACAAGGCAAGGGTCGGGCCAACGCCTCGAGCATCCGGGGTTGGTCGACGAGAAGGTTTCTGAGCCAGGCCTGTCTGTGAATCCAAGTGGTCCAAAACCCCCACCTAGCGAGTCAAGACTTTGGATGAAAGAGCAGTAATAGAGCACGTGTGGCACGTGTAGCACTTGATATTGCTGTTATATGGGAACCATGGGGCCAGGAGGAGTTGCAGCTGTTAATTGGCATGGAAGCTAGCAGACAATAGTGGTGGCATGGCGAGGACTGAGGCTTCGAAGCGAATCACGTTCGTGGAGCTGCATGCCAGAAATCCTGCAACAGTGCAGCTCGGCTAATGCTCCTCGTGCGCTATTCAGCAAGGCCGCTACTTGTCATGAACGAATAGCCATTGCAGGCGAGAAAACGGAGGAGAAAGAAAGAAAGAATTTTGGGGCATTTGTCAGGGGGTGATGGGTAATACTGTGAATACGGAGCGCAAGACAAGGTACAAGGCTCTGCGTCGAACGTATGTACAAGGACTCGTACGAGTGATCGTGCCGTTTGTTGGGAAAAAGTCAATCGAGGAATACGTAAACAGGCGATGCGATGGCGGAAAAGAGGAGTAATTGCGCAAGCAGCTGCGCAAATGAGTCGGAGTCCGTGAGCCGCGAGGCTCGGAGTACGAAATAGTATTGATTGTTGAGGCTACTACTAGGTAAGAAAGGGCAGGATTTTTTACAGTTACAGTGCAGCTGCGTCATGGGACATCAAGGTTAGATGGCGGGCTGCCGGCGCAAGTGTGAAAACACCGTGATGGGCTCCTCAAATGCCGTAGTATTTCTGTTACTGCGTGTTTCTATTAGATGGACAAGCATCTACTAGATGGACACCCAAAAACTCAACCTGTGACGGTTAATTGCTTCACGAGACTAAGAAAATAAAAACAATGGATTACGAAGTTGCATAATAAAGAAAAAAAAATCTTAACATGCCGTTTCTGGCATCACCGTTGCGTAATCCCATGTTTTGCGACAAAGTAAACCCCGTGGCCCCGAATCCTCGGACGCCGCACACGCTGATTGGATCGTGGCGGTCAAAACAGCGGTTTGCCGTGCTGGTTAGCAGCGTTTGGGCCTGGAAACGTGCTCGCTGGACTGGATGACTGTGCAGGGCCCAGCAGCCCAATTTTTCGTGCTGTCGTCGCCTGTACCGTCAGCTGGCGCCGTTTGTTCCGCCCAAAGGCAGCCCCAGAAAATATTGATCGCAGCAAAAGAACTCCACAGGGGGGAGGGGGGTGATGATAGGTACATTGGACAGCCTGTCATGGATATGCATGACTGAAGGTTTTTTTTGCACCGTTTCACTTTGTTATGTTAATTTTTAATTTTTGAGTTTTGTGCGCAGGTACCAGATGCTCCTACAGGGGAGACAAGATTTTCATCTGAGACATTGAAACAAAAGTGTCTGAACAGGAATGCAATGCAGCTCCGTAAAGGGCATCTGTATCCAATTCTGTAGGTACTGGAAGCCAATGGCTGCGCAAAAAGACGGGCCTGGAGGATCGCCTTTCCAGCGCTGCCGTTGCAGGTGCTCAAAGTACAGCGACCAGCAGCGCAGCGAAACGGAACTCTGGGACACAACTGGTGCCTTGATGGCCCGTCCAGCAGCGGCCCTGCCCAATTGTCTGCATGGAGTATCCGGTACCGCCGCCGCGTGCCAACTCAAGCCTGCTCCACCGGTGCATGTTACCGCAATGCGACCTGGCCGTCGACCCGGGCGGGACGCATTGCTGGCGGAGTTGTCGCACGGCCAGCATAAATGGCTTGTACGGAACATGTACAGGTACCTCGTCCAAACCCCCCTGGGGCTGTTTCCCATGGCCCCGTTCCGTCGATCGCCACCAAAAG